AAAAAATAGTTCAGTCTCGTCTAAGGATACTGAGAAAAAAAAATCTGCGATAGAACTCTGCAAAAAACTTTTTTTTGTATGTATTTTATAAAGCTTGTTCTTAGAGATGGTCACGGTATATCGATTTTTCAAATAACTATCGATAAAAAGACTGTCCTATATTAAGTTTTATGTTTTTTTTAAACTTTTTCGTATTGTTTTGTGTTGATTCATTTAAATTCTTCAATCGCAACCCAATAATATGTTATCGATACCGAGTATTTTTGCCTGAATATGGGGCAAAAAGTCAGCAGTTGCTGTAAATGTTCGTCTGGAAAGGGACGCCATCTTGCTTGTTGCGAAAACACGTCGCAAGGGTAAGTTTAGTAATTTTTTTTGTTGGAAAATCGAAATTATTTTAAAGCCTTATAGCCCCCAAATATGTTTTTGTCATATATTTTTAGTCAGTGATGACATGTATTGATTATTTCGATTCTAAATATCTTGAGAACGGTTGCTCGTAGCGATTTTAACTAAGGGACCATTTTTACTTAAAAAACGGCGGAAATGTATATTTTATATTTTTTACATAGGTACTGTTTTATACAGGTACGGACGAAAAGTTATTATTCTTCAAAACTGTTAAAAAACATGTCAAAATCAAATTTCTCACGTTAAAGAACCCCTAGACACGAATTTTCATCCAAATTTCGTTATTAGTTCAGTATTTTTTTGGAAAAAATCGAAATAAAAATGAAACTTGTACACCCTGTATCTCCGAAACTAAACATTTTAGGACAGAATTTTATACGATTTTTTTACATATTTTTTACCTGCGGGTTATACTGGTGAAGATTCCTGAATACAATTTGGACCACCCTGTATATCAATAGTTAAATATCTATAAATCTGTAAATAATAAATTGTGTAGCGAAAAAATATCTTTATAATTTAGTGAAATACAATAGTCACATTATGCGATCTTTGTTAAACTGGTAGCCTAGAATTGTTCTGTTTACATCTCTTGATTTGTATATCATGAGACGTTTGTTTTTTACAGTAAGGTTTGTCTACGTATACAGGGTGAGTCTTAAATAAGTGCAAATATATTCAGGGCAGGTAGATCTCGATAATAGAAACATACATAGTTTGGTTTGGTTTGGTTTGAAAATTCAAAAAAAGAGTTTTTGTTTAAATTTTGAGAACCACTGGGTGTTTTTTGAGATTTCTTTCTAAAATTTGCATATTATCAAGAAATTATTTTTTTAAACGTGACAAAAGTATTAAATTTTGCGACATGATTGACAATATAGAAAAGTCATTTTCACGCCCAGGCATAAAAGTAAAGCACTTTTACGCCTACGAAAATATATTATTAAACTTACATGAAGTGTCAAATTCAACGAGCTGTAACCATAGTTTCTCGATATATGATTACATACAAGGTATATGACTTAATATAATATATATAATATATATAATATTTTTATATTATTTGGAACGTTTGAAATTATTTAAAAAAAATATTTATTCTATTCGGAGTAAAAATGACTTATTGTGCCTCGCCTGTATGTCGTATAGCCGTTTGTTCGCCATGGAGTTTGTGTATCATTTTTATTCCTAATAAAACAATATACTATTTTTAACTAAAAAATTACCAAAAATATTTTTAAAAAAATCCAAATTTTCAAAAAAGATTTTGCGAAAAAAACCTTATAGACGTGTTTCTGGAGTCGAAATATACTACCCCTAAGAACATTTACACTGTATTACTAGTTTGAATTTCAATCTAATGTTCTGTGTGATATAGTATCGAAAATCCAAACGCAATTCTATTTCTTTATCTTCTGTCTGACCCAAATGAGTTTTCCAAATTGTATTTCTAAACTTATATTAACTTACTAAAACAATATCGGCCGGCTTTTCTATAATTAGATTTTATGTTATGGTTGCTTTGCCCGTTCATAACGCTGTATTTTTAGGATATAGTCTAACTGCACTTTCGGTCCATCTAGCCCGGCGATTTGCGCATTTCAATCAATTTCAGAAATACATTACGATTTATTCGAATTCCAATAACATCCGGCAAAGATAATGGTATCTACAGGGTGTGTTTTTTGCCATTCACTTGTAGATTTTTTTCGATATATTTTAGTTTTATACTAGTGAGCCGATTTTGAATGATTTTTTAAGCAATATGTAGCTAAATTATTTGACTTTTTAGTATCTCTTTCTAAATAAAAAATGAAAGTTCCCATCTTTCAATTATACGGGGGAAAACAAAATGTTGATATTTTGGTGAAAGTTTGGTTTGGTACTCGGTAATAATAATTAAAAACATATTTTTAGTTACGTGCGAAAGTCCTTTGATACCTTCTAGCGGTCGAAATCAAACTCTTCTAAATAAGTTGTGATGCTGTTCTTACTTCTGAATAGGGAATGTAATCCCGCACCAAAATCTCAATCCCGCAAACCCGCGGGATTACAGCAGTCAATCCCGCGGAAATGCAAAATTGCGGGACTGTAAACAATAGTCATACATTTGGTCCTAAATGGTACAAAAGGCATTGTACATTTTGCATAGGCCCACAATATATTGATATAGCGTGTATCTTAAACCAGCTGTACAGAAATTTGGACCGATGTATACAGGGTGTTCAAAAAATATATTTAATATTAAATAAACTTAAATTTTATTATAATTTATCTACTTATTTTATAAATAAAAATATTATTCTGATGTTGAAGTTTTTTTTAACTTGTGTTAGTTATCTGCTTTTAGATACACCCTATATCAATAATTTTTTGGCATATGCAGAATGTACAAAGGTTTTTGTACCATTTAGGGCCATACGTATGACTAAAAATTCATATTTTTCAATAAAACGTCGTAATTTCCTTAAAAAAAATTAAAAAACTTATCAAATTGTTTTTTCTAATTCCAATACAGATTACTCGTACTTGGTAAAAACTTCGATTTTTTAAAAATTGTAAATTCGCGGTAAAAAAGATTCTTAACCAAATTTTCATATTCTTATAAAACTCCCTGTATATGAGAATTCGCTAAATATATTTTCGAATACCATATAGCATCTTAATCACAACAGATGCATCTAAAGCCTGGTCCAAACCGCATCCCAAAATCTTTTTTAGTTCAAGAGATACCTATTCAACTTTAAATTTACCTTAAAATTTTGCTTGTCCCGATAATTACATATGTCCGGCAGTTTATTTGACGAAATTGTCCTCAAGTACTAGTTAAACGCTTTTCTTCACTTACGCACATACGCCAGAAAGAAATCTAACAAGTAACCTGTTTGTTTCACGTATTTTTAATGGCCAAGCCGTAAGGGGAATCCCCCGTGTTCCGACCGTCGACGCATCGGCCCGGAACGAAACGGTTTGATCTTAATCGAGATCGATTCGGTTACCCAATAGTAGTGGGTTGATCCCGCGGATCCGGCACGGTAAATCCCGCAACTTTGATCCCGCGGAATCTCAGAGGAATCCCGCATTTGCAGGATTGCATTCCCTACTTCTGAAGCTATTTTGAAGTTTCTATAATGTTTATTAGCAATTATTGAAGTTTAAATATATTTTATTATTTAGTATAATATTGCTAAATGTATTAGTTATATTTTTTTGTGTTATGTTTTTATAGGCATTTGCATCTTTAATTGAAAATGTTAAGTTTTTTTTTCAAATTTAGTTAAGTTGGTTTCGAGGTTGGTTGATGTTGTTTAACGTAATTTTTAAGTTACTTATGTGTTTTCTTTTTTTTCGCTTGTGTTCATTGTTTGTGTTCATGTTTACTTTCTCATGACTTAATAATTTGATACTATTTTCATTTGAAACTCAATTGTTTATCGGTTTTATTTTTGAGAACCATCCCGTGCTTGCTAATTGACGAACTCCACAATCATTGAACGAAAATATTTTAGTACGGTTCCGGAAACTTTAATTAATACTGCCAATTAGGATTCAGATCTTTTTGGCCATCACAGAACCGGGCCTCGCGTAACAAAAAAATAATTTTTAATTATTGTTACAATTAAAAATTATTTTTTTGTTACGCGAGAAAGTCCTTTGACACTTTCTAGCGGTCGAAATCAAATTCATGTAAATAAGTAGGTAACGATGCTATTTCTTATTGTTCTTTTTTCTTTTGAAATTCCTATAAAATTTATTATGTTATGTTTTAATAGATATATGCATTTTTGATTTACTTTTTTCTTTACTTTGTGTTCATGTTAATTTTTTCATGACTGATTACTTAATAATTTGATATTATTTTCGTTAAAAATATCATTTTTTTATCTATTTCACTTTGAAAAACCATCCCTTGCTTTCTCATTAATGAATTGCACCACCATTGGACAAAAATTAGTCAGTACCGAAAGTACCGAAAAAAATGGGAAATCCCGGTTCCTAAGAGGCGCTTTACCGAAATTCCCTGTTACGTAATACAGCTGCGGTTCCGGAAACCATAATTGGGACATCCTGTATAAACAAATAAAACAAGAATAAAAATATAATCAGCTAGAACGTTCAGGGATATGGGCCAAAAAAGTTGTTCCTGTTAAACCTTATTATTCAATAGGACAAGCTGCTAAAGCATTAGTAATAGACTAATTTTAATTTAAAATATCGGACTAAAGTACAGAACAGTGCATTGTATTGACTGGTATCCAGTTTCGTAGCCTTATACAGTTGATTTTCATTCATTTAATCTAAGATTAGAATTAATTAACAACATTAGTTTATACACTCCAAAAAAATATTGAATTTTGGTTATTTACTATTGTATCTATAGTCTGTCTAAAGAAAGTATGAAGACAGTGACAGCTATAATATGCCATTTTGTGATCTGGTGTTTCTCCATTTTTTTGTTTTTTTTGTTTCTCCATTGTTTCTCCGACTTTCTGTCTTTCTGTCTCCCAAATTAGTTTTTCTTCTGATTGAACAGACTTTACATAGTATAAAATGAATTTTTATATAATATCTTTTTAATTTTATTTCAGGTCCAAAGATGGTGCTCCCATGGTTCCTGACCGTCGAAGAAGACTCCACATCAGTGGCAACACTGTCCAACTGGCCTTGGACAGTGTCCAGAAAAACGATGCTGGAATATATAGGTCAGTAGCACTAATTTTTATAGACGGACAAATTGATAATCTAAAAAATATTTATTCAGAATGCTTTTGGAAAATATCAATCAATGCAATATTGCTGAAATCTGTTGTAAGATTTTTTTTATTTATTGTTTTATTTTTGTTTGGAAATTTTCTGTTCTATTTAAATGTGCAAAGAGAAACACAACTTGCTATTTTATTTTTTTATTAGCGCTCTCTAGCTACCACGAAAATGTCTTGGAAACAAAATTTATACTGGACATTATTAGGAAAGAAGAGCTCTTTCAAACGAGGCCCAGTTTGTTTAAATTGGCTAACCTAAATCGGAGTTATTCTTATTTTAATAAAAGAAAGTTTGACCTTCCCCCATCACTTTATTTTATGAGATAGAGCAAAATATGGTATATCAAAAAATTATACATTTTCCATTAATTACAACACCAATATTTAAGATACCTCTTCACCTGCATATTTTTGAGAAAAAATCTGTTTTCTGATTGGCCATTACAGATGCCCCTAGCGGACATTTTTCGAACTTGAAAATAATTTCCAGAGATTTCTTTTAGTCGATTTACGCATAACAATTTTTTTTCCAAAGCTATACGAAAAGTAGTTTCTGAGATACAACCGGCGTCTATTCATAGTTGGCCACCCGGTACAGTGGTATATTTTTTTAAATTGGTTTTTCTATAGGCTACTAAAATTCTGCAAAAATAACTAGGACATCCTGTTTAACTTAGTCTCTTTATTAAATATTTCATTTTTTTTTCTAGAATAACGGCTACGTCATCGGCAGGAACCGCATCCCGAGACCTCGAGCTGCGCGTTAGCCAGGGATCAGACGTCGACGCAGAAGACGAACCTCCTGCTTTCCTGAGAAGACTGAACGACCTATCGGTGAAAGTTGGCACTAGGACGCGATTTCTAGTGGAGATTCGAAGCAACTCTGAAATAGCGGTGAGTAGTGTAGATGTAGATTTTATAGGAGGGGGAACTTTAATCACCACGACCTTATAGATCCATTGTAATAATAATAATAAATAACGCTTTTTTCTACAAAAAGCCAAAATAGTTTCATCGACAAAACATTTACAAAACAAACAAAAGCCCAAAAAATATACAAATAATAAAAAATATCAAACAATACAAATCATACAATTCAAAAAAATTTACGTCGTTAAAATTACCAATAGAACATAAATACATGGACATTGTAGGACATAAAAAAAGGCGTATCAATAAAATTTTACAATAGGAAAATTGTAAATGGATATAATCATTTCATCAAATTTTAAAATTCAAAATTGTTTATGATTAAACATCAACAAAAAAGTTGTTTACCGCATATAGGGCTCTCTCCTGTAAGTATGATTTCAGAGCTTTGCGAAATGCGAGAAAGAATGAAAGCAACTTGATATTCAAAGGCAGATGATTGTACATTTTTTTGGTCTTGTACAGTATTGAACCTTTAACTAGTTCTGAGGTCGGAGTTGGGAGATAAAGATCGTGCATTCCTAAGTGGATAGTTATGAGATGGCCTTTCGGGAATAGCAGATATGTGCTTGCGGATTAAGCAAACGGATTCAAAAATGAATAAAGAAGGAAGAGTCAGTATTTTGAAATTTTTAAAGAAATTCTGGCAGTGGGTTCTACTGTTCAGTCCCAATAAATATCGAACTGCTCTCTTTTGAAGTTTGAAAATACGATCAAATTTTGTTGCGCAGCAAGTACCCCAGAATGGAAGGGCATAACGAAGATGTGACTCAAAAAGTTCATAACAGGCTTTCTAGAGGTTGATAAGTTAAGTTCTTAGAGGTTGATAAGTTAACCTTTCCTTCCTTAGAAACTGATCTTAGCGCAAAACAGGCAGCGCTTGGTTTCTTTGATAAAGCTTCGATATGCAAGTCCCATTTTAACGAGTTGTCTACAACAAGTCTTAAGAGTCCACGACGTCAATAGTGTCTTGAGTTATAACTCATCATACAGTCTCAGGGCTTTGTCAAAAGCCAGTATTTGAGACGGTTTTACAGAGGGTAGTTCTTCTTTTCCTAATTTCTTCAGCTTCTCTATGCATTCTTTGACCAACTTTGAATTGATGGTTACTCAGTTGATCGCTTCTAAGGCTGTTTGACTGTCGGATAAGATTATTATTTCTAGTTTCTTATAGTTCCTATCTAAGATAAGTTGTACGCATCTTTCGATAACGTAGATTTTTGCCTAAAGCGTAGATTCATGCCTGAAGCGTAGATTTCTGCCTCAACATCCAAAACAAGACCAAACACGTTTTTGAGTAAAACTGTTTTTATGTATTGTGGTGCTTCAATGCAAATTAAATGGGCTAAAGCAGAGATTTAAAACAGGTTTAGGCTCATTAGCTACTCTTTGAAACAAAATTTTACCCGGGACAAAAATGTTTTTGAGGGAATATTTTTATTTGGAAAGCATGAGCAACATATTTTTTTGGTTGATGTAAAGCTATAACTAACTAATAATAACTAACTAATGTAAATAACATCAAACAAAATGCAAATGACCTTCCTGGAGTTGATTATCTTTCTAATAAAATTTTAAAAACAATTTCGTGCTTGGTTTGAATGCCTGCCAAGCGTAGTTGACTTGAAAATAACCAAGAAATGACGCTCTTTGGTTTGTTTTCACTGATTATTATTAAACACACACCATCACTGTCTGTATTATTTTTGGTATATATACTGAGTGATAAAGAAGGCATAGTTTTGATAAGATGGTCGATGCCTCATGCATAAGGACTGCCAACTAAATTCGATAGTATAACTTTGTATACTAAAAGGACCATTTTTGCATTTTATTTTATTTTGGTAGAGATAATCGATTCCTATATGAGTTCGCAAGCTATAGGTATATCATATATACAGATACAGTGATTTTTTCAATGGAAAACGACAGTTTAAACAGTAAATTGCATAGGAGAATGAGATAAAAACAAAACAGGATACTGAATCATGTTAGTAGTTCATGTTACATAAACCGATTTGGCACATTACTCTAACAATGTTTTGTTCCTTGGGTATAAAACAGATGTCAATGATGCGATTTAAATTTAAACACTGACCTGAGCTCATCGATATTAAAATCAGTAGATAGAATAACTATCTATACGTTGACAGAAAATAGTATTCTAGCCTCTGAGCAATAAATATGATATGAATTTAACCAAATATGATCTAAAATATTTGGTTTTGAAGTCGATCTCTTAATTGTCTTAGTTTAGAGTTCCTTAAGTTTAATTTCTATTTTTTTTTTTCGTTTCTCGTAACTAAGACAACTGCAATAAACAGAACAAAATCTACCTACCAAACTTACAAATCGAGTAAATTTAAAACTCTTTTTAACATATTTAGATTGCAAGGCAAAGGAAGTGAATTTTTTGACAAATGGTTCAGATGTCATCATTTAATTCTCGATTTAATTTCACAGTTTCCAGAAAAAAAAATCCAAAATATGTTTTTTAATTTTTTGGTTTTATTACAAACCAAATGGTCGAAAAAAAAACAGTGTCAAAGACGGCTGGGGAATGAAAATCGATGATAATTTTGGCCAGGTCAAGCCCTAGACGTTATTTACTTGACCCGTACTATTCTTTATTTTTTAATGACGCTTACTGTCAGTTGGCCTTAAAAAGGTTGTAATATATTTTTATAATGAGTAATTTTTTTTTCAATAGCAACTGTTCAAATTGCCTTATATCTATCAAAAATAGTAGATAAAATAGTACTTTAACCACAAGGGTAGATTAAATGATACTTTAACAGCGAGGATAGGTTAAAAACTTTATTTCTTCTCGCACGTTTTTTAATTGCTTCGATTTGTGAAATTTTTTGTATCCCTTTTCATAAGTTATTCGGGATTTAAATGGAAGTAGTTTGGATATGGCGTTTGTCGCCTCAACCTGAATATCTGTCGGTAATTTACTTATTTCGTTTTGAGACATTTCTGGCTCCAATTCAATCAGCAATCGACACGAAAGAGAATTAAAAAATATTGACTCAAAACATGCTCAAAACACAAAACATCCCCCTTTAGAACTTTTTCTTTAATGGCCATAAGTGGGAGTAAAAGACCAACCGCCCGAACAAACACTAGAGGCGCCACCGGTCATCAAATGGTGTAAAAATTGCGAAAATTTAATCATCTAATTTTGACACAAGGGGTCGCGCTTAACTTTTTTAATTTTATTTCAATATTTATTGTTTTCAAACTATATTATTAGACTTTATTGTATTTTGTGAGTGTATAAATGTTTTCTTAGTATAAAGTTGCATTATATTAATTTAAATTATATTACATACATATTTAAAATTCAAATATTATGACATATATGTCAGTTGCCGTCTAAAATGTCATCTTGATAACAAAAAGTTAGTTATTGTCAGAAATAGTTAAAAAATCATGTTAAAATATTAAAATTTACAAGTTATAATTAGATATTTTCATAATGGCACAGCGTAATGTTGATATGCAGGTCCAAAACAAAAAGTGCCGTTATATTTTTCAGTTTTCGTTGTCAGCCGCGGAAGTTTCAGTGATTTTAGTGTTATCAGATATGTATGTTATGTATGTCAGATATTTTTTTTTTGTGAAATAGAAATATTGCATTTGGATTGCAAAACTAAAAGTGGAAGTTTTATTGCAATGTAAGTAAACGTTTGTCCATTTTATATTTTACTTTTTCATACCTACGACAAATATACATATATTGAAATTTAACAATTCGTTTTTTTTAAATGTTAGAAAACAAGCCTGTAATCCTGTAATTGACATAATTGTAATGTAATATATTCCATTTAAATGTAATATATTACTTTACAATTAAAAAAATTTAAATTTAAAAAATATATTAAAAATATATACAGGCATTAATTGAAATTTTTAGAGTGCGAACAAACACGAGAGGCGCTTTATTATTTACTTTCATTTCTTAACATGACAGATGAAGTTCTAAAGGGGGATGTTTTGTGGCTCAAAACTGATAACTAAAGAGACAGCTTTATTTATTTGTCATATTACATAGAAACCAGCGCCAACCCAGCACAATATTTTTTCTACTCGTAATAAATTCCTTAAAATAATAATTTCTGAATATTTCTTAAAATGTAACTCGCTATGGAAAAAAATATTGTTTTATACACGACGATAAAATTGCATTATCGTCTTGTATAAAAAATAACTATAAATGGTGTAATTTAAAATAAAAAAAAATAATAATTTTTTGAAAATAGATTTGTGTGTCTGGAAACGTTCTATCCTTATTTAATCTTTCTACAATTAGTGTTAATTTTTGACAAGATTTATGTCAATTTTTAGCAAATGGCGTCTAGAGATTGATCTCGTGAAAATTAGCATATTATTATTATTTGTATTTATTTTCTAGATAAAATGGTTGAAAAACGACGAAACACTAACAGAAAATGAACGATACCGTTTTGTGAACGAGGGTGGATTTTACTGCGTAGATGTCGCGCCTGTCACCACCGACGACTCAGGAAGATGGTCCTGTCATGCCAGAAACGCCGTTGGGACAGTCTCGTCCAACTGCCATCTCAACGTTCTGGGTACGTAAAGATTTAGAGTAGATTAAATTGTTGAGGTGGCTATCGCCTGTTCCACTGTGAACTTTTTCTGATGATTGTGGTCCTTTTCTGATGATTGTGATCTATTGTGGTCCTTTTCTGATCTTTAGGTTACATTCTCCAGTCATATAATTTTCAAAAACTCTAGAAACTTGGAGATTAAACCCTCTATAATAGCCCTTTGTCAATGGCTTACCATTACCTAGTACAAATAATCGCACATTCACCCAGGCTGTCGCACCGACATAAAGTGTGTTCTGTCCTTTCTTCTTCAGATTGACAAAATATGCACATGGCTTTGTACGTCAATAAAATCAGATTTAGATCCATTTTAAGCATATAATTCCCTGTTAGTAAACACTCTACAGCTTTGACCTTCTTTCAGTCTTTGCTTATCAGGTCTTTACTTAGACGTTAGACAATTTCCTGTTTCACAATGTACCGTTTGTGTCGGGGAAGGGATCATAGTTTCATAGTTGTCGATTTTCGAAAGAAATCAGTACATGTATATTATTTCGTATATTTTTCATTTTATTGATTTTATGGAAAGCACTGTTCATTAAAATGTTGTATCCTATGTTATAGGGCCTGTTTCTCTCTACAATTTCCTCTTTCACAATGTACCGTTTGTCGGGAAGGGTTCATAGTTTCATAGTTGTCGATTTTCGAAAGAAATCCAGTACATGTATATTATTTCGTTATATTAGGGATCATAGTTTCATAGTTGTCGATTTTCGAAAGAAATCAGTACATGTATATTATTTCGTATATTTTTCATTTTATTGATTTTATGGAAAGCACTGTTCATTAAAACTGTTGTATCCTATGTTATAGGGCATGTTTCTCTCTACAATTTCCTGTCTCACAATGTACCGTTTGTGTCGGGGAAGGGATCATAGTTTCATAGTTGTCGATTTTCGAAAGAAATCAGTACATGTATATTATTTCGTATATTTTTCATTTTATTGATTTTATGGAAAGCACTGTTCATTAAAATGTTGTATCCTATGTTATAGGGCATGTTTCTCTCTACAATTTCCTGTCTCACAATGTACCGTTTGTATCGGGGAAGGGATCATAGTTTCATAGTTGTCGATTTTCGAAAGAAATCAGTACATGTATATTATTTCGTATATTTTTCATTGTATTGATTTTATGGAAAGCACTGTTCATTAAAACGTTGTATCCTATGTTATAGGGCATGTTTCTCTCTACAATTTCTTGTTTCACAATGTACCGTTTGTGTCGGGGAAGGGTTCATAGTTTCATAGTTGTCGATTTTCGAAAGAAATCAGTACATGTATGTTATTTATATATAATGTTGTATCCTATGTTATGGGGCCTTGATTCTCTTTACAATTTCCTGTCTCACATGTACCTGTTTCGATCAGTACATGTATATTATTTCGCATTAATTTTTGTTTATTTATGTATATAGTATTTCGAAGTAGGTGGGCAAGCAAAGATTGAACGAGTCGTTCATTTGTACGAGTATTAAAAATGAATCGTGAGATTCGATTCATTGCTTACAATACGCTTCGTTCAATTGAATCGTGGCCAGCACGGATCCATGAAATTTGAACGAACGAGTTGTAAAAAAGAGTCGTGAGAATTGCATCGGATCACAATGCGATAAAAAGGATCGTAATGCCCATCACTAGTTCAATAAAATCAGATCGTTTTTAACTGATTTTAATATTTCTAGTTATTCGAGGTAATTTAGGCGTCTGCCTTTTGATTTTCTATGTAGTAATTTAGTTGAATTTACATTAATTGTGTAACTTGTTCATTGTACATGTATTTTGAGGCTATTTGTGAAATTATTAGACGATAAGAACACTTTTTCTGTATTTTTAGTGCCCAAAACCTACAAAGCTCCCGAATTCATCGACGATCTAAAAGCAATCCTAACCGATCAAGGAACAGTAGCATTAGAATGCAAAGTTGTTGGAGTACCCACACCTCTATTACGTTGGTAAGAAAAAAAATCTCTGTGACAAACTTTCCAAACATTTGGCAACACTGTCCCTATTTTCTAGGTTCAAAGATGGCAAAGAGATTCGTCCTGGAGACGTTTTTGCCCTGACAGTGGACCCCAACCAAGACCCTACGTCACTGGGCACGTACGTTTGCGAGGCAACCAACTGCATGGGCACGGCCACGTCATCTTCCAGAGTGCACGTGGTGGACCGAGCAACTGGAGAGGGAAAAACGAGACTATCTGGAAGGTAAATATGTACAGGGTATTCACAGTTTAGGTGTCAATTATGAATTCGGAAACTTTTAGTGATGGAGATATCTCAATTACTTTAGATTTTTTCAACAGAGTCGGACCTCTTGAGGCAGTTAGTTTCTTTTTAATAAGTAGATGAGAAAATCACAGTTTTGCCTATACCGGGTGAGTCTTAAATAAGTGCAAATATTTTTTGGAGTGGTATATTTTGATCCCAGGAACACGTTTATATATAAAAATCTGGTCGCTCTCAATTTTTTTTAAAAATAAATAATTTTTTTTAATTTTCGGATATTTGAAAAACGGCTAAGAGAAAATATATTTATTTTATCGTCCTGGAAATATTAGCACTTGTTTAAGACTCATGTTTGTCGTAAGACTGCATATTTCACTGATTTCACATGGGAAGGGTTCCCCATCTTGGATATTATGTTTTTTTTGCGATTTGTGTGCCACCTTTGCATTTTTTTGACATAAAAGGTTATGACCAAATTTGTAAAGAATTAAATTCTCTACAATTTTTGTGTAAATAATTTTGTAACAAAATATTTACATAAAAATATTGACATAAAGTATGTCTCCATTCTTTATAAACATTTTTGCTTGTTCTAAAATGGTTAATCCCGTTTATACTTTCCCAAATTTCCATAACGTTTTAGAGAAAATTAATAAAACCTGAAAATATGGTTGATTTTTTTCCTAAATACTAAAAATCAAAACGTGTTGGTATGGTAATATAATTTCCTTTAGGAAAAATTATAAAACATAAAACTATATTTTCATGTTTTTTTTTAATTTTCTCTAAAACGGTATGGAAATTTGAAAAAGTATAAACTGGATTGACCATTTTAGAACAAGCAAAATTTTTTTATGAAAAATGCACTTTTTGCAAAATATCAATAATAAAAAAGTTTTTCTTCTTGTAAAGACAATCCGGGGACATACTGTATAATAAACCTCATTGTACATAAATGAAATTAAAGAAGAAATAATAAAAATTCGTTTCTAAAAATGCATTTTTTCTAAATTTTCATGTTGGGAACATCGCCAAAAATTAGTTTTAAACTAAACAAACCTGCGCCTTTCCTGTAAGAGATGTAATATAATTTAGAAACCATTAGGAAGCATTCCAAAATAAAAAATGCGTCGAAAATGACCTGTCACCGGTAGCGTATTATGTTTGTAATATTTATATAATAGTATGATTAAAATGTCAAATTTTAGAGGGTTATTTTGGTATATTTTCGACGCATACGGCTTTAATAAAGACTATAATATCTATTCAAAAACACAGGTACATTTTTAGCACAGTTTTTTCAAATATTTTGGACATTCTGCACAATGTTCTTGGATATACTGTTTTTTTTTATAAAATTAGCCATTATTTAACAATTTATTAAAATTAAAGCCCCGTCTACACCTAACGTCTTACCTGTTAGTCAAAACCTATCATGTAAAACAATGTGTGTAGACAAAAAACGGTCCGTTTTACTTGAACTGAATTAGGACGCAAACCGTCTAGAGAAGTGACGGGATCATTCAGTATTTTTTAGTTTTTTATTTATTTATTTAATTATATTTTTTTTTATTTATTAAATATTGTTTTTTTTTTAAATTGCTGTAGTCCAATTCCCACTGGACCTCCGCCGATATATTCAAGCGATTTAAAAGACGAAGAAATCAAAATAGGAGACCCCTTACTACTAACTTGTCAAGGTATTTACTAGATATGTGTTAAATATATCCATATAAAGTTGGAAATATCAATATCTTTTTTAATTTTATTTATTTTTATTTTTTTAGATAGAAAATCAATCTTATTTTAATGATTTTTTACGACAAAACTTTTCACGGCATTTCTCATAGAGATGTGCAAATATATCGATATATCGAATTATCGATATATTTTTCATATATCAATTTTTTTAGCGAGAAAATCCCTTTTATTTTTAATATTTTTTTAAAACAAAATAAACGGAAAAAACAATTTATTTTGACTCTATTATTTAAAATTTTAAATTACAACAACTATTTTTACAGTGTCTGTACCACCATGGCCAAAATACATAACCTGGTATAATTCTCAAGGAAAAATTGATGATCGGTCACCAAATTCCAGGTATTTGTATAGTAATTATCACAACACCCATTTTTCAATACTAATAAAAATTTGGGTAGTAAAAAGTCTTAATAATTGTAATTTTTAAAGGTACAAATCGATGGCCGACGGATTAGGCGGGTACATGATAGAAGTACGACCAACGGAAGCTGAAGACCAAGGAGAATGGAAGGTGGTAGCAACCAGCCAAGAAGGAGTAATCTCAATCAGTACCTGTGACGTCAAAATGATCAGTAAGTTATTTAGTTTCATCATTTTTTATGATTCCTTATGAAAACGCCAATATGACGCCGTTTTTTTTCAATTTTTTAGTACCAAAACACTTTAAGAAACCCAGGTTCTTGGACACATTAAAAGCAATACTGACTGAAGAAGGCTTGGTGTCATTCGAATGTAAAGTTGTGGGTTCACCCACTCCGTTGCTGAGGTGGTTCAAAGATGGACAAGAATTAAAGCCAGGAGATGTGTATCAATTAACCGGAACCAATTCTTTAGGTTTATAAGCTTTTTTGAAAAGACTAGACCCGGTCAAAGTAGTAGGGATATCTTGCACAAAAAACCGCGAGTAACATTTTTGACTAGATTTAGGAGAACGATTGTGTGTTAATCATCATATTTATATATATGCATTTTAGTATTTTTGCCACATCATTAATGTACTTAAAGCCACGAATTAATGTACTTAAATCGCGAATTAATGCTCAAACACTCGAATTAATACATATAAAATGCGAATTAATCCTTTAAAACCGCGAATTAATATACTCAAATCGTGAATAAAGAACGAATTCAATTTCTATCGCAAATAACGCAACCGAATTCCTTCGTTAACACGAATTAATGCTTAAACCACAAATTTAATATATTTAAACCACGAATTAATATACCCCAGCCCCGAATAAAGGACACAAATAAATTTCTACCTCGAATAATATAACCGTATTTCTTCGTTTTTGAGCTGCGAATTGATATACAGGGTAATGATATACAGGGGACGCGGAAGCTCCAAGGAGAACGGGAGTTTATATCGAAATGAAATTTTGGGAGCATACGTAGGTTAATTGAAACCATATTATAGAAATATTTAGAGTTCTACAGGATGTCCCCAAAAAAAGTTACGCATGAAAGTTGGGTTTTTTATAATGACAGGAAAAAATAAAGGTGAGTTTTATTAAAGAAGCATATGCTTAAATTGTGAGGATTTTGACATTTATGAAAATGTAGAATAAATTTTAATAACAGCCACCTAAATTGTAAGTTACCCTGTATAGTCTGATATTTAATTACAATAACCATTGTATGTTAAATCAAATTAAAATTTATCCCGATAAGTTATACAGGGCGAGACAAAATTAATAGTGATCAAAAACAAGTTACTCCTTTATTTTAAATGGAACACCCAGTATATTATACCGGTATTCAATTGAGAATTCATATATCTTTAAATACTATTAAGGTTGCCTACTCTTCAGACAAAAATTTTCCTAGATATTTTCATTTTTATGATTTTGTCTTAGTAGATCTTTATTATTTGATAAAATCTAGGTGGCTGTGATATACCTTTTGATAATTTAACAAAAATTAAAGGATGTAAAGTAAAAGACTCAACGGTACTAAAAAATATACGTTTAAAACATATTTTAATTATTACTGAATTAAAACTAGATATAAGTGTATAATTATGGCACAAAAATTAGCTAGATGAAATACATTTTTTTTTATTTTAACTGACACAAAATGATAACTAGTTGTTAAAATTGAACTAAATTGCGTCAGACGTGTCACAGCCACCTAGATTTTATCAAATAATAAAAATCTACTGACATTAAATCATAAAAATGAAAATATTTAGAAAAATATTTGTTTTAGCGGTAGGAAACTTTAATAGTATTTTGAAGAGACATGAATTCCTTATTAAATATCGAAATAATATACTGGGTGTTTTATTTAAAATAAAAGAGTAATTTACTTTTAAGCGTGACCCATGTTCAATATTAATTTTGTCTCACTCTGTATCACTTTTTGGGCCAAGTTTTAATTTGATTTAAAGTAAAATCCTTATTTTAACTACATATTGGGCTATTCCGAGTAAATTCGTATTTAGATAGCTTTTATTGAAATTTAAAACTTGTTTTTCATTTTTAGAAAATGTTTATTATGTCAAGAATCTTACATTTTAGTCATATACTTCTCTAATAAAAGTAACCTTTATTTTTCTCGTAGAATCCGTAAATCAATTAATATATAAGGTGTTCCATTACAAAAACCCAACTTTGATGTGTAACTTTTTTTGAGGACACTCTGTAGAACTACAAACTGTCGTTCTCCTTGGAGCCTCCGCGTCGTATGAGAGGCGCCACCCTGTATTTTAATCGCAAAAATATTTTTGTGTGCCTTTAACGACATAATTTACATAAATACATTTTTCTACATAGGTTCCTATTGCTGTATAGCGAAAAACTGTATGGGCGAAGCCCGTAGTTCAGCTGAACTGACAGTGGAAGACATCGAAAGTCAACTAAGTGACGAAGAAAGAGCTCAGCTGATCTCAGCTAGTCAAGCCCCTAAATTCTTACAAGGACTAAAAAGTGGAGAAGCCAAAATTAACGAACCTTACAGGTTTACTGTTAATGGTAATGTTTGTTTTAATCAACTTTTAAGAAGAAAAAACTTCTATTTCAATTTTCTAGTGAGTGCCACTACACCAGTGTCTTCTATAACTTGGTACCGCGACGATCAACCGGTTGATGCCGAGCCCGAAAAGTACTTTGTTAATAGAGAGTACTTGGGTGTATGTCATTTGGAGATTGCCCAGTTGGAATTCAACGATCAGGCTGAATGGAAGTGCGTGGCCACAAATGAGTTTGGTCATTCTGTCACCTCTTGCTTTTTGAGATTGGTCATTCCGAAGCATTTCAAGAAACCAAAGTTTTTGGAATGTCTTCGTGCTGTACTCTCAGAGGTACTTAATTAATTGATAATAATACTAAAGATTTTCGCCTGTTTTTATTTTTTGTTTTATGATTTACTGTAAATAAAGTACAGTAAAATGCACGATCTTTGAATAAAAGTATTAAGGAAGGAGCATATCAAAAATCTTAGGTCGAACGCGACGGGGTCCTAAAATGACCGACTTAAATTCCGGTTTATCAGTGCCGTTCTAATTTTATTCGAAACGTGTAAAAATATGACGTGGGTAGACTCAATAATTTGTTGTTTTTTTGCAAATAAATGTTGGGAGTTATTAAAATTGTTATAAAAATATATAATTCTAATAAAAATAGATAAGTTATAATAATTGTTTATTAACACAAACATCCGATACGCTACTGAAGCAGGTAAGTCAAATTGACGTATCTAAATTCTTTGACATTTAATCTTTGACAAGTAGTAAATAAAAGCAAAAATAAAGCAAGAAAAAATATATAAGTAGTTAATTTTAAGTGAATTTCATAAATGATCGGTTTACTACACGTATGTATATTATATAGTCATTTACTAGCGAAAAGTTTTTCCATTATTTCACTCGATTTTTGCCGAGATCTACCGCACGCTACACAACTAACTATTTTAGAGTCTTTTTCGACAAATCGCGATAGTGTCACTGTTAATTTAAGTTCTGCCACAATTTCCATCTAGATTTACTACCGTAAAATGAGGTGAATCGGGACACTCCGTGGACTTTACAAAGATATTCCTGCTTTACTATTTAATTTACTTTTAGTTTCTGTAAGCCAAAATATCGAACATGTTGTGTACTTTTCATTTCCAAATAGCGCAATTAAAAAAGAAAGAAAAAAGTGCGTTTTAGAAAAAAACCGTCTTGTCCCTATTCTCCTGGAAATGTGGTGATTAGGGACAACATTGTTTTCAGTACGTATTCTTATTTAGACGTAGCCTGGGGAAAAGGGACAACATAATAGAAAAAATATATCATGTTCTATCATAAAAATTATTTATTATTTTTTTTGTATTAAAAAACTTTTAATTGACTGGCTTAAATGACTTTCGGCAGAGGACTATTTTAAGTCTAATTAAAGCCAATATCGTATTATTTTACTTACATTTTCCACTTGTTACAACCAACACTCTCAGATGCACGAAAAAAGCTGATTTTCGACTACCAGAATTTAGATTATGTCAACCGTCAAACTTAAGTTTGACAGCAAATTCAGTTGTGTCACACGTAAAGCATATGTTTTAGACACAACTTGACGAGTGGTTACGGTTTCAACGACTTTTTTTAATAAAGTTAATAAAGAATTAAGAAAAAAAAAGTTTTGTCCCGATTCACCTGTATGTCCCAATTCACCTCGTTTTACGGTACCTTTATACAACTATCAGTAGTAGAATAAATAATAAATAACATAAAATAAGTTCCGTAAAGACTGACAAATCCACGAATTCGACGACAATCGACAATCCAAATGAATTTCAAATCAAATTTAAATAGCTTTGTTTGGGTTTTTCTTATTACCGATTCTGAACCGTCCTAGAACTGTGATACGCCTGCGCAGAAGGAAATATGAAGAAATTATTTTATTTGCGCATGCGCTGCAGAGTTCTAGGACGGTTCAGAATCGGTAATGACAAGAAACCGAACAAAGCTAATGTCTCAAATGAATCGTCAAACAGAACTGTCAAGGATCCCCACCCTAGGGCCCTTTCTCCGTCTGCCATATGCATGAATACATGGATAGCATTAAGGTTGATTCTCACTATACCTTCCATATCAGCTCCCTTCCGTTTCCCTGCTATTTAATATTGTGTCCGAATATCCCTGCCCAAACATTTACTTTCTGTGGATATTGCGTCCTTGTTACGACAAACTTGTGTTGGTTTTCTTTGTTACAATATCGATAATTTTGAACATTGGGTTCATTATTTAAGGTAAACGCGCATTCGTCAGTGAAACATGTTTTTTAAAAATTCTCTATCCGTGTTTGCTCTTTCCATCATATCAAAACAAAACGCCTGCCGCCGTATTTCGTCCCCATCTCGTAGCTCTTGGTGCTTTTCATGTTTGAAGGAATGGTATTTATGTCGTTTCAAAATTCGAAACGCTGTAATGTGATCTATTCCTATTTCATCCTCAAGTTTCCTTGTGCTGATCTTTCCATCGTTCTCTTCCACGCACAATAAAACTTCCAAGTCGGTATCATTTCTTGCATCTTCTCTTTGTTCCTGCCTTGCTTCACATCTGCAGTTATTTATTAGGGTACCTTTGGTCTCAAATCTCTGGATATTCCTTGCGATTGTAGATTTTCCAGATATCGGTCTATTCGGATACAGAGCAGCAAACATGTCCGACACCTTTTGATAACTATTTCCTTGATAATACCATTTAATCATCAATACTTTTTCTTCGGTAGTGTAATTCATGGCTAATATTTTCGATGTAGATATGAGTTTTTTATAATAATAATAAAACACTAACACTAAATAGATAAATTTCTGAAATGATAACTTCATAAGTAAATACAGGGCCATAAGAAAGGAGAAATATTTAAAAAGAAATCGACGATAACTCGTAAACGGGCTAATCAAAAATATCTAAAATTATTCTTTTGAATGTGGATTTTAGTGCTCTTCAATAAACCTAAATAGAATTATTCTCTAAAATAATTAGGGAAGCCAATAATTGACCCCTTTAAAATTTACATGGGATTTCCTATGTTCCGCTCGACGATGCAACACCCGGTATAGGGTCAATACAATAAAAATACGGAACGGATATGAAATGGAAACGGAAGGTATAGTGAGAATCAACCTTTTTATCCCTTTCTTAATATTTTTATTCAAATTGCACGATCTTCAAATGATTGTCTTTTAAGGAGGGAGCTGTCAATTTAGAATGTAAAGTCATCGGTATACCTCAGCCTGTCCTAAAATGGTACAAAGACGGTGTTGAATTGAAACCGGGAGACATTCATAGAATAACATCTGGGGAGGATGGAACATGCTGTCTAGGTAAATGAAAACACACAATAAAAATTATACTTCCATAACATTCTATATTTTCAGGAACATACACTTGTGAAGCTAGAAACTGTATGGGAGTTGTAGCTAGCTCGGCCTCTCTTCTGGGCTACGAAGATCAAAAAACCAGGCAACAACAGAGAATAGAACTGGAAAGGCAATCGTCTCTGTCGACTATACACGAGGAAAGAACCTCGCAGATGTATGACACAGCTGGAGACCAGTCTCTGACCTTGGGAACTGGCGAAGTGTCATTTTCGTTTGACGGCAAAGAAGTGTCAGTGTCTTTGTACGAAACTCCCGATCTTACTGAGGAAGAAGCTCTGCAGATCGTCGAAATGTATGCTGAGCAACTGTCAGAACATGTTTCAGGTACCTACGTAAAATCGTATTCTATAATACTTTAATTTTCTACAATCATATGCATGTCAGTCTCTACATTTTGCATAGGTTTTGTCTTGCTGTACGTTGATCTAGTCTTATGTACCAGGCAACTGCTCCATAGGTAATCATTTTTTCTTCCTCTAGAGCACAGTATTGTCGAGTTACCTCCTCTTCGCTTCGTCAAAGAATCATCTACCTCCGGAAACCTCCTCATGGAAGCAGTCTTAGTCGATGTATCAGATGACTACTTCCTCACAGCTGACGAAGACCTGCGCACAGAAGCAGACGTTGAAGATATCTATTCCCTCACAGACGAAGCAGGACATCCCCTATCTTCAATTACTTCAGAAAAATTGAAGATCGACCTGACCTCTAGCAGTGGCGATGCACCAAGAAGGCCACCGAGGAAGTCTGACTCGCAGAAATCCAATAGTAACAATACATTCTACAGCTTGTCCAAGAATATTTCCTTGGATTCGAATAACGAAAGTTTGGCTGGGGCTGCAGAGTTGGATAGTGAAAGTTATGGAGAGTTTGAAAGTGCTATAAGCTCGGAGAAACAGCAAAAACAAGAGGACAGAGCTTTCCAGGTTAGTAAAATATCTGATGCAACATAATAAAACGACTATCAAGCAGTGGCGTGCATATAATGTAGGCAAAAAGGCGTTGTATACCCCAGACAAGATCATAAAATCATTTTTAATAATAACTAATCAAAATAAATATTCGCAATAAGCATTTTTTATTTTATTCTAGAGATTACTTAATATGTAAATTTTTCATAAATGCATATGATTTAATTTATATTGAAATTTGTCTGTAGAAAAGTTATAATTATATAAAAGTTATAACAAATAAATTATAAAGCCGTAATCATGCCCAAAGAAATTATGAAAAAAATAACAAAACCTATATTGGTTATTAGAAAATTGATAATTTCTTGTACACCCTTTGCAGGCTGTTTCTTTTAGTTTTTGTAGAAAAGAAGTATAATTATAACGTGCAATTGTCTAAACACAACATTTGTTTAAAAATAAATTATGAAGTGACAATCATGCCTAAAGAAATTATGAATAAATTAAAAAATATATTTTTAGGGAATACTAGCTTTTATTTTAAACATTTCTTTACTAGAGTTGTTGTTTTTGTTGTATCAATTGGTAGAATAAAAAAAATGTTACAAAGAAATGTGACATTGTCGAAGAACAACATCCTTTTAAAAATAAATTAAAAAGTGTGTATCACATCCCAAGAAATTAGGAATAACTTGTGAATTTGTCCTCCATTCTAGAGATTTAGTTGTATATCTTAGAGAATACATCTCTGTACAGCTCATTCTTACAACAATAGCTCTAACACTTGAGCTACACCGATATGTTAATACTAAAATTTATAATACAGGGTGTTATTTTATTTAGGTGGCAGCTATTACTGAAACTTCTAGTTTACCAGACGAGGACGATCTCCAAGATGAAGCCAGAAGACCTCTCACACCGAGAACCAGTCACGAGATAGGTTCTGATCTCAGAGTTAATATTAGCGAGAGCCAAGAACTAAAAACTAGAAGAAGAAGGTAAATAAGTCATTAAATTTATCAGTAATTTCAATAAGTCTTTTGTTTGTCCTATAAGTTTTATACTTTAGTTTTTATTTTTATATTATTACTTAATTTTTGAGAAATTTTCGACTTATATTAGGTGTACACTTTGTTTCTCTATACTAGTATATAGATGTGTGACAATTCATTTATCAATAGTACTTTGTGTTGTTGCAGGATGTCTCAAAGTTCTGATGAAATGCCTCGAAGAGGTTCTCTAAGACAGACTGCCAGTGTTGACCTTCCTAGCGTCCAGAGAGACATCCAAGGAGAGGAAGGAGACGGTAATATACAGGGTCTTTCAAAATACGTGGGCACAAACTTGATCAAAATATTAAATTTCTTGAGTAGCGATTTTTTTATACATGCTTTATTTATTCTTAGGTTTGGTAATGAACCAAGAAAAACGGGAAGCAAAGGAAAAAGAACTCAAACAAGAAGAGTCAAGAGTAGTGGTAGAATTAAAGCAGACCTTGAATGAGCTTCAGGAAAAACTTTTGTCAGTTCAAGAAGAAGTTTTAGTGCAATCTGCTCTTAAAGCCACATCAGCTGCAGCAGATAGGAGCTTGGATGTATTAAAAAGCATCTCGCAGCCTATCAAAGACATTCAAACTGTGTTTGAAAGTCTGGAACAAAAAGAAGGCATTGAGGTAAGTGTATCTCTATCTATACTGGGTGAGTCTTAAATAAGTGCAAATATTTTTAGAGGTAGTATATTTCCATAATCAGAAACACAATAATGAGATTTTTTTGCCAAAAAAAAAATAGAAAATTTGGAATTTTTTGAATTTTTTTTTAGAAATTTTAATTAATTATGGAATAAATAAATAAAACATTTTTACAGATTATTGCTCCATCAGAAATTTCTATAGTGGAGTTACTGGCTCCTCCAATTTTTGATCTGCAGAAAAGTTTGGGAATTGTGGAAAAATGCGTTGCCATGAAAGGAAGAGAACACACACTGATCCAGAGAACTTGCAATAATATTGTAGAAAACACTTGTGGCTATTTGAGAAAAACTTTAGACGATGTAGAAAAAATTACTTTATTAGAAAAAGAACTGGACAGAACAAAAGTAAGATTTTTTTCTGCTTTTTACATTATAATATATTTTTTTCTTTTCATTGTTCTCTTTTTTCCTGAGTAGTCTTAAAAGATTACAGAAGTATATATTTATATTTGTTTTTATACTCCAAGGATGAATAAGGATTATTATTATTTTTAGGCTACTGGTAGAGTTACGCCTTCAAAAATTACTCAAGAAGTGTGCATCACAGTTAAAGAAATTAGGAACGAATTGACCAAATCCGAATTAGTTCTCAGAGAAGGCAAATATGGTCAAAAAGAACCGGTTTCGAGTGGTTCGGAACCCTCTTCTGCAGCAAAGGACGCAGATATTTTGACAAAATTCCTTACACCAACTTTACAAATTAAAGGTAAGTAGATAGTTGGAGAAAATGCAATGTTTCAAAAATTTGCTACATATTTTATATTTTAAATATTTTTTTTAGAAAACTTGGAAAGCCTGGAAAGAACAGTTGCTTATGGAGACCCAGACCAGATGTATCCAAACCTTTGCGAAGCTATTTTGGAAAAACTATCCGAACCAATTAAAATGCTTGTGAAGGAAGCAAAGGTGGCAGAGAAACAAGTAAGCTCTAATAAATGCTAGAGAATGTTTTCTTAAAATATTGAGAAACTTAAAAGTAAAAGAATTAGACTAAAACTTTCTTTTTCTTAGATTTTTTAGACTTAGTTCTTTGGACTTAGATTTTTAGACTTTTAGACTTTTAGACTTTTAGACTTTTAGACCTTTAGACCTTTAGACATTTAGACCTGTAGACTTTTAGACCTATAGACTAAGAGAACTAGACTAAAACTTTCTTTTTCTTAGATTTCTTTAGACTTAGATTTTTAGACTTTTAGACTTTTAGACCTTTAGACATTTAGACCTGTAGACTTTTAGACCTATAGACTAAGAGAACTAGACTAAAACTTTCTTTTTCTTAGATTTTTAGACTTTTAGGCTTTTAGATTTTTATACCTTTAGACCTTTAGACATTTAGACCTGTAGACTTTTAGACCTATAGACTAAGAGAACTAGACTGAAACTTTCTTTTTCTTAGATTTTTTTGAGACTTAGATTTTTAGACTTTTAGGCTTTTAGACTTTTAGACCTTTAGACATTTAGACCTGTAGACTTTTAGACCTATAGACTAAGAGAACTAGACTAAAACTTTCTTTTTCTTAGATTTTTTTAGACTTAGATTTTTAGACTTTTAGACTTTTAGGCTTTTAGACTTTTAGACCTTTAGACTTTGAGAACCTTAGACCTTTAGACATTCAGACCTTTAGACCCTTAGACCTTTAAACCCTTAGACCTTTAGACCCTTAGACCTTTACACCTTTAGACCTTTATATCCTTAGGCCTTTAGACCCTTAGACCCTTAGACCTTTAGACCTTTAAGGCTTTTAGGCTGTATGACATATTTTTATGGCTATTTTCCTTAGGCCATACGATACGCTGGTGAAAAATCTGTCGCCCAAGAATTGCGATTGGCCATTTTGGACAAAATAACGCCCTCAGTTACCGAACTATCTCGTGGTCTAAACGTCATAAAAAATCAGGAGCCTGGAGATAGACATTCTGGTATGATCAGTATGAATGTTCTGGAAACTTTTGCTGGATCTATCGACGACATTATGAATTCTCTTACAAGGTACTGCAGTTTTTTTTTAAATGTTAATACAATTTATATAATATAACTTTTTTTCCAGAATTGGAGCAAATGTCGAAGGTGAAGGGCTCAGTAGTCCCGTTTCAGAACCACGCGAGGAAGTTTTTAGAGAAGTGTTCGAGCAAGTTAGTGAAATAGTGTACACTGACACAAATCAGTCTGTCACTGATTTGCTATGTAACATCGAGGCTGCTCAGAGAAATATACCCAACACTATAATATTAGAAGGTTTAAGACAACTCTCTTCTCTACAAAAAGATTTGGCAACTACCGTAACCAAGGTAAACAATAATCAAATTACTGATCTGACCACAGTATTAAAAGCTCAGTAGTTTTAGGAAGTACTTTAGTTTACACTTGATAACGGTCAGTGATCCTCCTGACCGAAACCTTGTGTTAATCAAAATAAATAAAGACGATGGAAGTCAGCAGTGGCGGTTCGTGGTTATTATTTTAGGGAAGTCGATATCTAAAATTATTGCGTCGATTTTTTAAGACGCGATCAAATTTAATTGGTTTCTTACAAGGTACTTGTGCGTTTAGTTAAAGGAAAATAAATCTAAAAATAAATACAAATTATTTTAAAATGAAACCTACCATGACATTTTTAAACAGGTGGTCTAGTGCCGTTTCACTAAAAATCCAGTTAGTGTTCTTTACACAAATTTTCCACGGTAGGATTTAAAAGACACTTAAATTAATAATATATATTTTTTTTTTCTCCTTTCTTGGGTATGAGGTTTTTTTTATTAATTGAAAATGGAAACTTTTTTTTTATTATGCGACGTTTCGCCTCATCGTGGTGGGCTTTCTCAGGCACTTTATTGTTGACCATTTGACCTCATGGTTAACCCGCCACTGGAAGTCAGAAATTCTTTTATTGACGAACCTAAAACCATAACTAAAATATATTCTCTCATTTTTTTTTCTACAGGTAGGAGAAAACAGAAATGAAACCAGTATCTCAGCTTTAGAAAACATAGGTCAAAGCATCAACCTTCTCAATAATTTCGTCATAGATTTGACTCCTTCCAGCATGGGCAGTGTTCTAGAAGAATGCGGTGTTGTCCTAAGTATTCTGGAAGACAGTGTCTTAGCTACTGACTTGTCATCTCAACCCAGTGACATAAAAGACGAATTTTCTAATTTAAAAGACCGAGTCAAAGAAGTCAGATTAAATATTATTGAACTTAGTGAACAAGTTGATGAACCTAGACAAACCAGTGATGATCAAATGGCTGTCGGTGATAATGTAGTGGTAGTTTTGGAAGAAACATCAGTTACAGTAGTAAGAATAATTTTTTTTGAAGAATTTTAGAATAAAAAATATAAAAAATATCCTTATTTTAGGTGCCAGAAGCATTATTGGAGGATACGAAATCTACTTTGGACCAATTACAAGATTTAGCTTCTGTACCAAGTGCAAGAATGGTACTGGAACCTCTTCTGCCTCATGCTGTAGCTTTGTATGAAATCAGCAATGACACGTTACTGAGGAAACAAAAAGACCAGTTGTCAGAGGAAGACAGACAACGCCTGCAAAATTGTGTGGTAAGTACGAAAAATTATATTTAGACAAATAAGATACAAGTTCATACTAAATAAAATTTTAGTCACGTGATTAAGCTTGACCTTTTATATACTTTTTTTAATAAAAATATTTTAGGAAACAAAAATAAATTAATTATAAATATATAAACAGTTATTATTTACATCCACAAAACCATTACCACCGCTTTCCCGTTCAAAATATTTTAATAAATTTGCTATGAATTTTTTACGGCTATTAAACTATCTTGTACATTTCACACTAAAAGAAGTTCTAAAAAGAACAATGTTCGACTGCAAGGTCTGCTAGTAAACATTTTTAAGCTTAAAGTATCAAAACACTATTTATTTAAACCAAAAACTCGGAATACAAAACTAAAGTGTCAAAACGAATGACAATGTCAGGAAATAAATAAATAAATGCGACAACTTGGCATTTTTTACAGCAGAGCTACCACCTGAATCACCAGCGCGAAATTTAAATTCCAGTTAGTCAATATGAAATAGTAACATAGGTAAACAGTAATTGATATGAAATATAAAAAGAATATAAATATGGTAATCGCAAAACAATTTCCGATGCACGTGCTCAACTTTGAGTGACAAGCGATGGCGACAACGCTGCCAGACTGTGATGGATTTATGAGAAGAATCTTAACTTAAAATTGACGAACAATATATGTTATTATATCATTTTTTAAAGAGTTTTACGTTTTAATTTAATTTAATAACTAATATTTTAATAATGAATTGATTTATTTGTTTCATAACTTATTTTACTTATTACATATTGGCAAAAACTAGTCCATTATGAAGATTATTCTAAGCGTTATTATGGGTTATTTATTTATTTATTGATAAAATTATATAAGGATTCTTTCCACTTAACTGCTGATATAGAAATTTAATTCCACGCTGTGTTTGTCATAATGTGGATCAACCTGCTCTCACTACCGGTTTCGGAGCCCTACTCCATCATCAGGTGAGCTTGGGCAGATCCACAAAATGACAACCACAGCGCAGAGATAGTTAATTCCGACATGTCGGAAAGTGTCGGTTAGATATTAAGTCCCGAACGATAGATAGCAGCCTGCGTGCAATGATAGTACTTTCGTACCACCAAGGCAAGAATCTACATATATAAAATGCTAATGTTTATCTGTGTCGTCTCTACTGAAGTAACGAGTTACTCTAAAAAGTTGCTTTTTTTTACTAAAAGATAGGTAATTGGCTCTTCTAAAAACTGTCGTCGCCGGATTTTTTGTTTTTTATTTAATTAAAAAAATTACTAGTCCTTATATAATTTTATTATATACCTATACTGCAAAAAATTTGTTTTCTACTTTATAATTTGGCTTGCCTGAAAAAAAGTATTTTACCATCTTTTTACTATTGATAGTTTCGCCTCGGTGGTACGAAAGTACTACAATTGCACGCAGGCCGCTATCTACCGTTCGGGACTTAATATCTATCCGACACTTTCTGACAAGTCGGAATTAACTATCTCTGCGCTGGTGGTTGTCATTTTGTGGATCTGCCCAAGCTCACCTGATGATGGAGTAGGGCTCCGAAACCGGTAGTGAGAGCAGGTTGATCCACATTATGACAAACACAGCGTGGAATTAAATTTCTATATCAGCAGTTAAGTGGCAAGAATCCTTATATAATTTTATTATATACCTATACTGCAAGAAATTTGTTTTCTATTTTATTTATTGGTGTACATCTTACAACGCCATAAGTGGTAATAACAAGTAAGAGACTGCTATTAATGCATAAACTAATAATCACAGAATTTAATAAAAACTAACTAAAAGTGGTATAAATGAGCTTATAAAGCAAACTTACTTCTCTGACTGCAGTCAAGGGTAATAACGGACCTTTATTGTCACGTACTCGTTCAAATTGTTTATCAGGGAAGCTACAAGCTCTTTGCTTCGACTGTTTAAATGCCTCCGCATATTTTCAACACACAATTTTAAGAAATGAATACAAAAACTCGAAAATTTAGTTCTCAAAAGAACTGTTTGAGCCTAAAAGTGTAATTAAAAAAAACATTACGAAAATAGGCAAAAAACGAGATTTGCTACAAAGATTCAACAACAACATGATATTATACAAAATAATGACTGACATTAGGATAATTGTCAAATAATAAAGGACAACATTGCTGAGCACGGCACAATGTGACCAACATAGCGATAATAAAAGTCGGTTTATACTATTTTTTGCAGCTTTAATCTAAATAAAATCTGTTACAATCATTTGCTCTATAAAGTAAAATGAAGAGCTTCTCGGTATCTTAAATTATACAACAAATTTAAACAGTTTTGCCAACATTTCATTTAGTCAGGTTTATAGACTTTAATGTCAATGTTTTGCGATTACAATAAACAAGCTTTGCTGTACTAAACCAAGGTAGGAAAATGCTACGTTGCCACTTATTTATTCAGAAAGTTTATTAATGAAGATCGTATATGATTATTTGTATTATTATAGTATTTCATTAAATTATAAATATTTTTTGTTATACCTTTCTTACTTACATCGATACAATTTTTAGGTGCCTTTAGAATTGATAGAAGATCGAATTATTGAAGCTCTTGACTTTGTCATGTTAACTCCGGGAACTCCACAAAGAAGTGAACTGAAGAATCTTTTAGAACATTTGCAATACAACGTTGCCGTAATGCATCAACAGGTTTTGGACGAAACCCATTTGGCAGGTTAGAAATACGCAATGAAAAAAATTATGACCGTTTTTTTAAATAAATTTCTTTTTTTTTTCTTTTATAGAAAGAAGAGATTCAGTACCTATTATCGAGGAAATCAAAAAATCTGTCATTGTTCTTCAAAATCTCCCAATTATGTCTGAAATTTCTGGAGACGAAGCAGGTAATTTAAAGATATATTCAATATACTACCAATTAAAATATTTACACTGATTTAAAAAATACTTTGTATATAAACCAAACCATATACTTTCAGTATCACCAGAAATTGTTAAAGAAATCGTCGAATGCGTTTCTGCCCTTGAACACAACCTGGCAACACTGTACGAAGTTGTTATGGTCGAAGGAATGGACCAGATGCCTCCAAACTTACTACAGGTAAGCAAATAGTCCTATGATTAAAACGATTTGTCTTTTGAGTAAGCCCTTAAAACACTACTTGATTTAAGTAGTTTAACTTAAAAGTTTAACATAACCTGTCAATAATTCGTATCTGTTTTTTTTTTGGTCGATTGAATAATAAAAAATAAAAATCGAAGCCATATAAGCTTTTAAACAGTGAGAATTGCATCAAAATCGCTAGTTTTTTATTCAATGTTTTGATCACACGGTATATTTTTATTGAAGCGGTTATTGACAAGCTCCAATGCTTATACAGGTCGCTTCTGAAGTCACTCAGAGCATAGAACAATTCAAAACCAGCAGCGGGCTTTTCGAACAACGAGATCAACCGGTTTACACTTTAGAAGACATCGTCAACGTTCGTAAACTCGCCGAACCTCTGAGCAAACTCAGCACTACAATAGACAGCGTACAAGAAGCTGACGAACTCAGAAGGGAAGCTTTTGTTTCTGTGCTTGAGCCTCTGATCCAAATAGCCGAAATCTTAGAGCACATTTCTGAAGATTTGAAGATCAAACTCTTTACCTTACATTCGCCTTTGCAAAGTGCCATAGAGATAATAACTTTAGAACAACATAACTTTGATATAGAGCAAGAAGACTTGGTTCAACTGAAGAATATAGGCAACGCCATGAAGTGTTTGGTTCAATGTATCTTGAACAAAAACGTCAGTAACTTTGAGCCGATAGCTCTTGAACTAGCCGAGAAAAACACTTCTTTGATTGAAATTTTGGACACAATTGATTCACCAAGCTTAAGATTGATCGTATTTTCCCTTCGAGAATTTGCTGACTCTGTAAGCCAAGTCAGCACTCAATTTGAACAAACCACAAGAGCTGATGAAGAAGACAAACCCAGAAGCGTACTACACCAAGAGGATGTAATAACGGAAGAAGAGCATTGCTTCAAAAGCGCAGAACTTCTCAAAGATACGGTTTTCAGATTACAAGAAGCCAAAGACTTGCCTGATCAAGAGATCCTACTAATCGACATAATAGAAATATTGAAAGCATTAGAGCGTCTTGATTCTGAGCTTCAGGAAGATCAAATTCAGTTAATAGATGCTACACTCGATACTTTAAACAATGCTGCTCAAGCAGTTATTGAAAATAACCGTCCCGATGGTCAAGGAGTGTCAAATCAAGATTTTGAACGTATATTTTGCAGTTTGGACGATATAATAGCTTCAAAACTTGTCCAGAGACTTATAGTACCCGTTCAGAGAGCTACTGCTACTTTATCCAAAATTGTTTCGGAGCTTCTGATGCGAAAAGATGTCACTGAACAAATTCAGAATCTAATTGAAACTTTAAAAATTAATATAAATGAAAAAGAAGGTTCTAATAAAGTTATTAAAGATGCAGTATTTAATTTCCTGGATAAGTTCAGTAAAACTGACTTTGAAAGGCTTTCTTTAGATTATTCAAGAATTTATCTGAACATTCTCGAAGCAGTTTTGGATCTTCTTAATAATGAAACGTTAGAAGAAAAAGAAATATGTATGGAGAAACTAAGATGTGTAATAAGGTCTCTTCCTATTAATTTAAGAGAACCACTTGAAGAGTCAGTTGAAGAATTAGGAAGGTTCGTACGTAAACAGTTCTCTACTGTTCCAAGTATCCCAATAGTACACCAGATATTAGAGGATATTGTAAAGTTAGAATCTTCCACATCAAATCCCTTGGTGACGAGCATACATAACCTAGTTCAAAGTATTGAAGAAACTACCCTAGAAAGCTCTGATGTAGTTAAAATTAATGAAATTCTCGATACAGTTTTTAAAGTGACTCAATCTCTTACTGAAGAAATTGTTGGTGATTCTGAAATAAAAGAAACTCTGGAAAATACTAAAATAATTTTGGAAAAAACTTCATTTTCTCCAGAAATACACCCCCAAGTATTAGTGAATGTACAGGCGTTATCTTCAGCTGTTTTAGATGCTTTAGAACCTAAAAAAACTGTTACCGTGTCTAGAGATAACTTAGAAAAATCTATTGAGTTACTTAAAAATACCGACGTTCAAAATCCCTTATTCGAAGAGTTAGAAAATTTAAATCAATGGTTAGGTGCACGAAGATTCAGTCAAGTCGAGGAAAAAACTATAATTGAGAATTTTTTGAGCAGCTTACAAGGTGCATTAGAATCAACACTTGATGAAACTAATTTAAGTAGAGTGGAACCGTTAATTTCCTTTTTAGAAATACATAAAATGTCTTTAGGACAAATACCTGAAATTCTACCGATTATTGAAGCCCTTTGGCCAGTACTAATAGACTATTGCGAAGGGCATGTTAAAAGAAACTCTCTTCAAAAGTTAGAAACATCACTGGAAGAATTTTACATGCCTTCTAATAGAGAAAATTTAAAGAAAAATAAAGAGGTTTTGGTTGAAAACGTTGGTGTTTCAGTTTTAAAAGTTAAGGAAGTTATTAAAAATATTTCTGTGAAAGATTTAAAGAAAGATGAATGTTCCTTTGTACTAAATGCTCAAAAAGTATTTGTAGAATTAAAAGACTATATTGAAAATGATGCAAAGAGTACGCAGTCTGTATTGGAGCACGTTGAAGAGTTTGTAATACTTAATAAAGGTGAACATGAAACAGACGTCACAAATCAAGTGAACTTACTCATAAATGAAGTTTATAAAAATATTACAGATATCAGACAGCTTGAACGCGAACAATACGAGTTGAAATTAAACAATATACAAGAAGTTTCTAATTCTTTGCAAAATATTGCTAGAAACCTTGCATCTATCAGATATAAAAACGTAGATAAAGCACACGTCATGATACTACAAAAATCTCTCTACCCTTTGCAAACATCTGTTAATGATTTGATAGAAGCTGACCTTACTAGCGATGATCTGAAGTTACTCGAGAACATCAGTAATATTTTTGAAAAAATAAACAACTCTATTAAAACTAAAGTAGATGTCAAAGAGTCTAGTGGACCTCAAAAGGAAGAAGTTATTAATTTAATAGAAGAATTAAATGGTGTTGTTAAAAATATTAACGAAAATTCTTCTATTAAAAATATAACAAGTCTGCTGAGTACCCTAATTGAAGAATTGCCTTTATTGGTTGAAGAACTTGATACAGGATATGGAGAAGAATTAAAAACCGAAATAGCAAGTGGTAGCTTAAATGAATCAATTAATTTAGCTAAAAGTATTTTGGAGTCGCCAGTAGAAAATGAAGAAACTGATAATCTTATAATTACTTCTATTGAAAAAGTTAAAGCAGATGTTGTTACATACGAAAAAGACTGTGAAAAATACTTAATTAATGAAGAAAAAGAAATTTTACAGGATTCTAAAAGCTTACTAGAAAATGTTTCTGAAGGTTGTGCTAGTAAAGAAAACCTTACTGCCTTAACACAACCAAAAATAGTTATTTTAGAAGAAAAACTTGAAGGCAAACAAAATGCTGTTGTGAGCGTTTCAAGAAATATTCTAGAGATTTGTAGAAGGGTTGCGAAATATTTTGACAAAAATAAACAGCAAGGAAAAGTTAAAAAATCAAAGGAATCAGAGAAATTAGATATAGAATCTACTGCAGTTGTAGATTCTGTTAAAGATAAAAAAGAAAGTGAAGAGGAGAGACTAAAATCTGAAAAATTCTCTACTGAGTTACTTGAGGATATTGAAAAACCAGCTGATGTAAGTATTTCTGAAGCATCAGTATTAGCTGAAGCTGTTGAAAAGGATGTAAGATTACATGAAATTTCCCAGACTGAACAGATTATTGAAGAAAAATCAACAGTTCAGGAATTACAGGGCACAGCATCTGATACTACAGCGCTGAAAGAGGAAGAAATAGATTTACATGATACCGAAAAGCCAATACCAATAACTAAAGAAGTGGTACAAGAAGAAAAAGATACAGAAATTGCTGTTGTACAACCAGAAGTAAAATTAGAATCATCTGAATATGTTGTAAAACAAGAATTGCAAAAGACTGAAGAACTTCCTATAGATCTAACCGAACCAGACACTATTCCAGCTGAAATAATATCCAAGGAAGAAATATCACCTTCAGATGAAAGAATTGATTTAAAAGAGCCTGCAAAAACCAAAAATGAATTAGTAGAAATTACAGCATCTACTTCAGCAGATGACACGACCTTTAAAGAATTTGATAGTGAATTGATAATTCAAATTGAGAAAGATCAGAATATTGAAGCTGAAAAAATAGAGCCTGAAGTTATAAAACCAGAAGAACCTGTTTTAGATATTGAACGTGATGTAATAAAGACTGAAGAATCTAAAATAGAATTAATAGAAGATATTGCAACTACTTCAGGAGAAGATAAAAAGCCTGAACATGATGTGGATGTTAAACCTGAGGTTATAAAAGAAGATAAAGCTGTATTATTAACTTTAGAGAACTTAAAGTCTGCGATAGTTCTCATGGAAAATCAGCCAATGTCAGAAGAAAAGCGATCAGCAGTACAGGAATTACAAAAATCCATATCTGCAAATACTGAAGACTTAAATAAATACTTGAAAACAATTAATGTAGATAACTTAACACCCCAGGAACAAAGTGCCTTGGTAGTTACCGAGGAAACGCTCACTGAAATCAACAATTTAATTGTTGAAGAAAAGGGTGCTTCAACAAACGTAGAAGATCAACCACACGCCTCGATTGAAAGTGCAAAGAAAATGATCGAAGACCTTAGACTTGCAGTTGTGGCAACTCCGAAAGATTCTCCAATAAAGGAATCGCTAGAACCTTTAGAACAAACCCTAAAAAATGTCGTCAATCTTATGGAAACTCTAGATACGGAAAAAGATTTTCAACAAAAGCTTGGTTCATCTATTAACACAATTAAAGAAAACGTTAGTAAATTGAAATCTGTAAAACTATCAAAATCTAAACTAGATATTCTAAATACTATTGACAATGTTTGCAGTAAGTTTTCTGAGTCTCTTGCTAATCTTAAAGTGGAGGTCGATATAGAACAAACCTCGATCAATATAGCCAACGAATGTTTGGTTATTACGAACGAATACTTGGAAATATTTTCTCAAAGACCAGCAAGTAGAAGCCCGTCAAAAAGTATCTCTGAAAGCACGCAAGAATTTAAAATTGCCATTCAAAGCGTTCCTAAAGACTCTAACGTAACAATTCTAAGAGAATTTATAGAAACTTTAGCAGAGAGTGTTTTGAATTTGCTCAAACCTGAAGCTTCATCTCCTGTACCTCCTTGTAAACCACTTCAATTTTTGAGAAACTCTTTGCAAAACCTTCAAGAGTCTCTCTCAGTTTTTGATCCAGTTGCTGAAAATAAAAATAGGAAAATACTCACCAGCGAGATGCAGAGACCTGTAACAACGTTACAGTTTATTGCTAGCACTATTTTAGAAGACAAAAAAGACAAACTAGGACCTGACGATATAAATATCTTGAAAAATACTAACGAGGTTGTTCATAAGTTGTTGCAAATAGCTGAAGAGCTTGAGTACAAACCAACCAGTGAGCAGATACTTATATTGGATGACACGAGAGACAGTTTAAAAAATATTCTGGCTTGTATTAACCAAGAATCTCAGATAAAAGACTTTTTGGATCCACTTCAAGACATTTTTAAAAGCATAGAAAAGGCTTTAGAAAGAACGTTGTATACTGATCAAGAAGAAAGAGCTAAAAAAGAACATGCATTAACTGAATTAAGCAAATCTTTACAGATGTTGGGAAGTAAGATTTGTGATGTTGCCACTTACGATCAAGAACTACAAAAAATAGTGACTAAAGATATGGAAAAACCTTTGAAAGCTATTGTCGAATCTATTTCAGCTGCTGCAACTGAGTCAGTTACTAACCAAGAAATTGAACCTTTACAAAAGTTGACTGAATCAATTAAGAATGTTACTGAAAATCTTAATGATAATTTAAGTGAAAATCTTCAAGCTTTACAAGAAAACATAGCAGATATAATTTCATTTAATGAACAAGCTCGAGACCTTAAAGCCCCAGACGTTCAACCAACTTTTGTTGAATCCATCAACGATTTGCTTGATGAGTTACAACAGTCAGTTGACTTAACGCATTTGGTTGTTGAAGAATCTACCTCTTCTGTAGAAGATATCCCTTGTTTAAAGAGCTTTAAAGAACGCCTGAACAATTTTTTGAAATTTGTAGTAGCTGCCAAACATGTATCTGAGGGAAACATGAATTTGCTTGAAAGATTTATAAGTCCTTTGGAAGATTTACAAATTTCTCTGAACAGTTGTACTGGCATTGAAATGCGTGAAGAAGAGATTGCGTTATTGGATGATATTAGAAAGTGTTTAGAACGAATTAGCGAGCATAAAAAAACTGCAGAAAATTTACAAAACTTGGATATAAAGGATTTCTCTGAAGAAATTGACTTACTTCAAAATAAACTGATTACTGTATGTATGAAGGCTGTTTATGTTCCAAATAAGGAGAAATCCGTCATGCAGAAGTTGTTAGGTCCTTTAGAAAATATTTCGAAGGCTATTATAGTCATGCAAAGAGAACTAACACAGCGCACTGTTTTAAAGAATGCTTTAGATCGATTTGGAAGATTAGGAACAGTACTACAGCAGAAAGTCGACATTAATAAAGAAGCAGAATATAAAGTTCTTGCTGGTAACATCAAGGAACCCTTGAAAAACTTATCAAAGGCATTTTCTAGTCAAAGAAATCCCGAAAATGTACCACAAGTTATAGAAAAGTCAAGACTAGAATTAGAAGGTCTCCTGAATGCTGTAAAACGATCAAATACAGAGATTGAAAATTATAGAAATGAAAGTTTAGTTTCGTTAAAGAATGTAGAAACATCTTTGGAAAATTTACTAAACTTACCATTAGAAGATGTTAATATGAATAATTTAAATAAAATTTTGAATGCGATTGATGAGTTGAACAAGAAAATTACATCGGAAGAAGTAATAACACCAAAAAAACAACCTAGCGCTATAAAAGAGTCAATTGATATAGCTAAGGTTAATTTAAAATCACTCGAAACTGCTATTGTTGAAGTACAACCCGAAGCAACTAAAGCAGCAATATCAGTTCTAGAATTACGAGAACCTATCAAAGAGTTAGAACAAGAAATCACCGAAATTATAGAAGAAAAAACTCCAGAAAGCGAAGTTATAACTCCCGAACTTGTAGAACTGATGCAATCATCTTTAGAAAAATTATCCAAAGTAATTTTATCAGTAGAAACCACTTTACACAAACCAATAATCAGCGAAGTTGACAAAGGACAATTGAAGCAAGCTATTCAAGGATTTAAGGAGATCATCAAAATTGTTGAGTGTAAAGAGAACTTGCCAACATCCCTCAAGATATTAGAACCTGTAAAGAAACTTACAGCTAAAATTGAGGAGATGCAAAAAGAGCTAGATGGTGAAGAGCGTCAAGAAATTGTTTCTAAGAAGCCAGAAGAGGTAACTGTAACAAGTTCAGATGAGGTAGTGAAAGATTTAACTGTTATAAAAGACAGTCAAATTGAGACATCTAAACTTTGTGGATTAATTAAAGAAGTATGTCCTCCAGGAACTAGTTTAGAGCCTTACTTGGAGCTTCTGGAGCCACTGGATTATTTACAAGACTGCGAACAAAATTTGTCAAATTTGTTATCAAACAATATGGTTGAAGAACTTCAAGACAGTGATAAAGATATTTTGAGAAAAACTACAGACGAAATTAAAGTTATATTTCAAATATTTGACGCTCTTGAAGATATAAATGAAGCCTCTTCAAAGGAAATACTAAGTAGTGAATTAACAAAATTTAAGAATATTTCAGAAAATATAATTTCATCAAAAAGTTCAGCATTAGAATACATCCAAGAACCTCTAAAATTGCTTGTTTTGAAAATTGATTATATTAACAAGCAGTTTATGCCTAAAGAATCATTTGTAATCGAGTCTGTAGGGAAATTATCTGAAGAATTAAAAACTCTTTATGGAAAAATTGAGGAGATTTTACACGAAGTTAAACAAGGACAGCTTTCTTTCACTGAATTTAATGCTGCAACTGAAGAATTAACTCAAATTTTAACTCAACCAAAGGTTCTTGAAGATTTAGCTAATTACGAAACTGGAATTGTTAAAGTAGTTCAAGAATTACAGAAATTAAATTCAATATTTGTTTCATCGAGCACAGAACCTGATAAACCAAAGGTTCAAAAATTGACACAACCTGAACTCCAGCAAGCTCTAGCTGCAGTAAAAGAGACTCTTATGGTCCTAGAACAGACCAGTCCAAAGTTAGAGCATTTCGATGTCATTGAACAACCAATAAAGGTATTAGTATCCTTATTAGAACAGCCTAGTTTAGAGGAAGTTCCTTCAGATTCAGTTAGTCTATTAGCAGAACCAGTCGTAACGTTGTCCAGCGAAGTGCAAGCTTTAAAACAGAGCATCCAAGATATAAAATTACCACCTGAATCTGGTATTCTCTCGGTCTTGGAAATAGCTGATGCAGTTAATAATCTGCAAGAATCATTAGAACAAGCAAGTGCTATCACGGAGACTTCTAGTGAAGCTTTAGAGGTTGTATCACAATTGAAAACGCCTTTAGAGAAGGTATCACTGGAATTAAAGGAAGTAATACATCAGATAAATACATCTAAAATAGTAGATATTAAACAACCTGAGCTACAGCAAGCTATTGTAAGCTTAAAACAAGCAGTTGATAATGTTTCAAGCGGTCCTTTTGAATCTAAGACTCTGAAAATTATTGATATACCTTTGAATGTTTTGAAAGCAACCTTGTCTAATATTGAAACTGTGATGGAAAGTAAAGAAACAACTACAGAAGGTAGAGCTGAAATCGTAGATATTTCTAAAGCAGATGAAGAAAGTTTACCAATAGAGGAAGCTGTTCAAGAAATTCCAAAAGAACAAGAAGAACTAGTAAAGAAAGAAGAAAAAATAGGAGAAAGTGAACCTGAAGATGTACTGGAAGCGGAGAAAGGCACAAAAACTGCTAAATCCATTATATTTGAGACGCAAGAAGAAACTCAAAACTTAGAAGAAGAATCTGTTAATGTGCAAATCGCAGCCAAGCAAAAAGAGTCTGACAAATCAAATGAAGAAAAAGTTAAGAAAGAAGAGTTACAAGAAACAACTACTGAAAAGAAAGTTCAAAAGAGCAAACAGATATTAGGAATTGTAGCTGAATTAAGCAAGAAATTAAATATTGAAGCTATTATTCTAGGTCAACCTTCCACCAAAGAGTCTTCTGAAGAAAATGTAAAGATAGCCAAAGAAATCAGTGACAGTATTACGGTTTTGAACACTGCTGTAAATGACGTTATTGAAAGTTCCGAGATATCTGAAATAGAAGAAGTGGAGCTTGATAAGATTGCGACTCTGGTGGAACCCTTAGAAAAACTGTCTTTAGTATTAACGCAAAGCTATGAAGAAGTTTCTAAACCTGAAGTATTAGAACTTAAAATACCTGAAGCTCAACAAGCTCTAGAATCATTGATAGAGACTGTCGATACAGTAGGTTCAGTTCAGTACAAGTCTAATATTCTTAATAATTTTAAAGACAGCCTCAAAATATTTTCTTCCACACTTACCAATACTAGAGATCATTTATCTAGAGCTGCAACTATTTCACAACAAAGTGACATATCTGTACCACCTCAAGTCCTACCTGAACCAGTAGAACAATTATGCAAAGAAATACAGTTACTAAAAGATACTGTTACAGATATTCCTGCTCAACAGGCTCTGAGTCGATTAAAGGAACCCATTGAAACATTCCAAACTGCTTTGCAAGAAGAAGGTTCACAGTTTGAGAGTCTTGAACAAATTGAGAATATTGGAACTCTCGTTACACCTTTACAAAAATTATGTGCTATTACAGTAGAAAATAAAGAGCAGCTTTCCAAGTGTAAAACTGAAAAAGTACCAAACAGAGAACTATTGCAAGGTATTTTAGCTTTCAAGACAGTTATAGATAAAATTGAATACATTCCAGAAGCAGGCGGTTTTGCAAAAACTATTCCAGCTTTACAAGCCTTGTCGGGAACTCTTGGTGAAATAATATCTGACATTGAAAATAAAATAGTTGCCGAGAAACGTTCTCTTAAGATGATACAACAGGAAGTAAATATATTAAAGCAGGTGTTCCATGAGTTTCAACATACTCCAGAAAAAGGTGAGAAGGGATTAACAGAAGTAGAAGCTTCAGTGAATGCTCTAAATGTTACTTTCGAAAAATTACTAAATTCGGAAACAACAAAAGAAGAGGAAGAATCTATTGCTAATTTAATCGATCCACTTCAGAAATTATCCGCTGTTATAGTTACTCAAATGGCAGAGACTGTAACATCTAAGCCAGTTGAACTTGATACAGCAGAAGTAAAAGAATCAGTTATAGCTTTGAAACAGGCTTTAGATAACGTTGTAGAAAGTCATCCGAAATCAAAAATTATAACTGAGGTTACCAATCCTTTACAGGCTTTATGTGCGACACTATCATTAACTGATAAAGAGAAGGAAATGAAAGAAGAATCTATAAAATTAATGTTTAACGAATTATCTGCCTTAAAACAAACTATTCAGGAGTTAAACTCTGCTCCATGCAAAGGAGTTATATCACTGTCTCCAATAGAAAGTTCAATTGATACTCTGCAAACAAATTTTGGGGAAATTTCAGAATTGATAGAAAATTTATCTCAAGAGAACCTAGAAACTGTCACACGAATCACAAATCCTCTACAAAAATTATCTTCCATTTTAATATCTTATAAAGAAGAAAGCTTGAAACCAGAAATATCAGAAACTTATAAAACTGACATGAAACAAGCTATAAGTTCGGTAAAGGAAGAAATACAGGTATGCGTTCAAGACATTAGAGAAAACACATCACTCGTTACTATCTCAGAACCGCTAAAGGAACTGCTCGCTTCTCTTTCACAAGCTGAAGAACAGGTTACAGAAGAAATAGGTCAAATTAAGAGTCAACTATCTGGAGGTGAAGAGGTTAATAAAAAGATAACTGAAGTTTCAGAACAAGTAGAAGTTTTAGAAGAGAAATCTGCAGAGGTTGATGAAAAGCCTCAAATAGAAGAAGAATTATTAGAAACTGCCAAGCCTACAGAAGAAGTAAAAGCTGAATCAAAAGAAGAAAATGTGCCCTTAAAATCTAAAGAGACTCTAATACAATCTGAAATTGAAGATGCAGCTCTTATTAAGCCTACAGAAGAAGTAAAAGCTGAACCGAAAGAACAAAGTGTGCCCTTGAAATCTGAAGAGACTGTAATACAACCTGAAATTGAAGAAGCAGCTCTTATTAAGCCTAGAGAAGAAGTAAAAGCTGAACCCAAAGAAGAAAGTGTGCCCTTAAAATCTGAAGAGACTGTAATACAACCTGAAATTGAAGAAGTAGCACTTATCAAGCCTACAGAAGTAGTAAAAGCTGAACCCAAAGAAGAAAGTGTGCCCTTAAAATCTGAAGGGACTGTAATACAACCTGAAATTGAAGAAGCAGCACTTGTCAAGCCTACAGAAGAAGTAAAAGTTGAACACAAAGAAGAAAGTGTGCCCTTAAAATCTGAAGAGACTGTAATACAACCTGAAATTGAAGAAGCAGCACTTGTCAAGCCTACAGAAGAAGTAAAAGCTGAACCCAAAGAAGAAAGTGTTCCCTTAAAATCTGAAGACACTGCAGTACAACCTGAAATTGAAGAAGCAGCACTTGTCAAACCTAGAGAAGAAGTAAAAGCTCAACCTAAAGAAGAAAGCGTTCCCTTAAAATCTGAAGAGAGTGTAATACCACCTGTAATTGAAGAAGCAGCTCTTATCAAGCCTACAGAAAAAGTAAAAGCTGAACCCAAAGAAGAAGGTGTTCCCTTAAAATCTGAAGAGACTGTAATACAACCTGAAATTGAAGAAGCAGCACTTATTAAGCCTACTGAAGAAGTAAAAGCTGAACCAAAAGAAGAAAGTGTACCCTTAAAATCTGAAGAGACTGTAATACGATCTAAAATTGAAGAAGCAGCGCTTATTAAGCCTACAGAAGAAGTAAAAGCAGAATCCAAAGAAGAATTTGTACCCTTAAAATCTGAAGAGACTGTAATACAATCTGAAATTGAAGAAGCAGCAATTATTAAGCCTACAGAAGAAGTAAAAGCTGAACCCAAAGAAGAAAGTGTGTCCTTAAAATCTGAAGAGACTGTAATACAATCTGAAATTGAAGATGCAGCTCTTATTAAGCTTAGAGAAGAAGTAAAAGCTAAACCCAAAGAAGAAAGTGTGCCCTTAAAATCTGAGGAGACTGTAATACAACCTGAAATTGAAGAAACGCCGCTTGTCAAGTCTACAGAAGAAGTAAAAACTGAACCCAAAGAAGAAAGCGTTCCCTTAAAACCTGAAGAAACTGTGGTACAATCTGAAATTGAAGAAGCACCGCTTGTCAAGCCTACTGAAGAAGTAAAACCTGAAGCTCAGGAAGAAAAACCTAAGTCACCTAAGGCTAAAAAAAGTAAAAAAGAAAAATCAAAAAAGTCAAGTAAAGGCAAACAGATTCTGGGTATCGTTGCTGAATTAAGCAAAAAACTGAACATCGAAGCTATAATTCTAAACCAAAAACCAAACGAAAACCTAAATGAAGAAGAATTACTACTGGCAAATGAAATTCAAGAGTCGGCAAATTTGCTCAGTTCGACATTGGAAGAGTTAGTGAACGATAAGGAACCATTAGAGACAACTAAAGAGGAAATTGAAACACTATCCAGCCTCGTAGAACCATTAGAGCAACTATGTATCGTTGTTAGTCAGATTCATGATGAATCGACACCAAAATTAGAAAGTATTGAACAACCTACAGTTCAACAAGCTATATCTACATTAAACGAAGCTATAAGTAAGGTAATTTCAATGCCACCAAGGACTGGGATTTATGAAAGGATTCAAGTGCCTTTAAAGACATTTTCTGTAAACTTTGGAAATATAGAAAAGCTATTTATAGCTAAACCAACAAAGGGAAGTTATATAGATGAAACAGTTTTAGGTTGTACAACTCCTAGCAGTTTATCACAGAGAAGAGATAAAGATGCAGCTAGAACGATATCTTCACCTTTAACACAACTTGTACAAAATCTAGATGATTTGAAAGCCAAACAGGAAATATTACAAACTGCTTCTCCCTTATCGAAGTTTTCTTTAACTGAAACAGGTAAAATTATAAAAGAACTACAAATTGCTGTAGAAGAAGTTATAAATTTACCAGAAACAACAAAAGATATTTCAAGAGATGAAGCAGAGAGCATTGTAAAAATTGGAGAACCGCTAGAAAAATTAGCAATCGTTGTTGTACACGTAAAAGAAGCTTTATTAAAATCCGATATATCAGAAAAAGAAATTCATGAATTAAAACAAGCTACCCTTTGTTTAAAAGAAACGGTTCAAAATGTGGTATTTTCTACATCCCAATCCGAAAGTGCCAGTATTCTAGAAGCTCCGATAAAACGCCTTACAGCAACATTAAGTTTAATAGAAGAACCACCAGTGGAAGAAGTTCCATTAGAAAAGAAACCAGAAAGAAAGGATAAAAAGGCTGCAAAATTATTAGCAGAACCTATTGAACAGCTGGTACAAAAAATAAATATTTTCAAATTGCAACAACAAGAAGTACAAGGTTCATCTCAAGTAGCAGTGCTCTCTGTGATTGAATCTGAAGAAACACTGAATGAAATAAAGAAAGCTCTTGAAGAAGTTGTTAATTTGTCTGAAAATACCCAAGATATTTCTGAGAAGGAGGCAGAGCAACTTGCTAATATTAAGGAACCTTTGGAGAAGTTAGCTGCTGTTCTTGTCAGCTCCAAAGATGCAGCTCAGAAACCAGACATATCTAAAATAGAAACAAGTGAATTAAAACAGGCTATTGCTTCGTTGAAGGAATCAGTCCAAAATGTAACATTATCGTCACCTGAAGCTCAAACTGTAAATATCCTTGATGCACCTTTAAAGAAGCTTACTGCAACATTAAGTTTAACAGAAGAACCGCCAGTAGAAGAAGTTCCATTGGAGAAGGAACCAGAAAGAAAGGATAAAAAGGCTGCCAAATTATTAGCAGAACCTATTGAACAGCTGGTACAAGAAATAAATATTTTGAAATTGCAACAACAAGAAGTACAAGGTTCACCTCAAGTAGCAGTGCTCTCTGTGATTGAATCTGAAGAAACACTGAATGAAATAAAGAAAGCTCTTGAAGAAGTTGTTAATTTGTCTGAAAATACCCAAGATATTTCTGAGAAGGAGGCAAAGCAACTTGCTAATATTAAGGAACCTTTGGAGAAGTTAGCTGCTGTTCTTGTCAGCTCCAAAGATGCAGCTCAGAAACCAGACATATCTAAAATAGAAACAAGTGAATTAAAACAGGCTATTGCTTCGTTGAAGGAATCAGTCCAAAATGTAACATTATCGTCACCTGAAGCTCAAACTGTAAATATCCTTGATGCACCTTTAAAGAAGCTTACTGCAAAATTAAGTTTGACAGAAGAACCACCAGTGGAAGAAGTTCAATTAGAAAAGGAACCAGAAAGAAAGGATAAAAAGGCTGCAAAATTATTAGCAGAACCTATTGAACAGCTGGTACAAGAAATAAATATTTTGAAATTGCAACAACAAGAAGTACAAGGTTCACCTCAAGTAGCAGTGCTCTCTGTGATTGAATCTGAAGAAACATTGAATGACATAAAGAAAGCTCTTGAAGAAGTAGTTAGTTTACCTGAAAACACACAAGATATTTCTGAACAGGAAGCAGAACAGCTCGCTAAAATTAAAGAACCTTTGGAGAAGTTAACTGCTGTACTTGTCAGCTCCAAAGATGCAGCTCAGAAACCAGACATATCTAAAATAGAAGCAAGTGAATTAAGGCAGGCTATTGCTTTGTTGAAAGAGTCAGTCCAAAATGTAACATTATCGTCACCTGAAGCTCAAACTGTAAATATCCTTGATGCACCTTTAAAGAAACTTATTGCAACATTAAGTGTAATAGAAGTACCACCAGTGGAAGAAGTTCCATTAGAAAAGGAACCAGAAAGAAAGGATAAAATGGCTGCAAAATTATTGGCAGAACCTATTGAACAGCTGGTACAAGAAATAAATATTTTGAAATTGCAACAACAAGAAGTACAAGGTTCACCTCAAGTAGCAGTGCTCTCTGTGATTAAATCTGAAGAAACATTGAATGACATAAAGAAAGCTCTTGAAGAAGTAGTTAGTTTACCTGAAAACACACAAGATATTTCTGAACAGGAAGCAGAACAGCTCGCTAAAATTAAAGAACCTTTAGAAAAGTTAACTGTTGTACTTGTCAGCTCAAAGATGCAGCTCAGAAACCAGACATATCTAAAATAGAAGCAAGTGAATTAAAACAGGCTATTGCTTCGTTGAAGGAATCAGTCCAAAATGTAACATTATCGTCACTTGAAGCTCAAACTGTAAAAATTCTTGATGCACCATTAAAGAAGCTTACTGCAACATTAAGTTTAACAGAAGAACCACCAGTGGAAGAAGTTTCATTAGAAAAGGAACCAGAAAGAAAGGATAAAATGGCTGCAATATTATTAGCAGAACCTATTGAACAGCTGGTACAAGAAATAAATATTTTGAAATTGCAACAACAAGAAGTACAAGGTTCACCTCAAGTAGCAGTGCTCTCTGTGATTGAATCTGAAGAAACATTGAATCACATAAAGAAAGCTCTTGAAGAAGTAGTTAGTTTACCTGAAAACACACAAGATATTTCTGAACAGGAAGCAGAACAGCTCGCTAAAATTAAAGAACCTTTAGAAAAGTTAACTGCTGTACTTGTCAGCTCCAAAGATGCAGCTCAGAAACCAGACATATCTAAAATAGAAGCAAGTGAATTAAAACAGGCTATTGCTTCGTTGAAGGAATCAGTCCAAAATGTAACATTATCGTCACCTGAAGCTCAAACTGTAAAAATCCTTGATGCACCTTTAAAGAAGCTTACTGCAACATTAAGTTTAACAGAAGAACCACCAGTGGAAGAAGTTCCATTGGAGAAGGAACCAGAAAGAAAAAGATAAAAAAGGCTGCAAAATTATTGGCAGAACCTATTGAACAGCTGGTACAAGAAATAAATATTTTGAAATTGCAACAGCAAGAAGTACAAAGGTTCACCTCAAGTAGCAGTGCTCTCTGTGATTAAATCTGAAGAAACATTGAATGACATAAAGAAAGCTCTTGAAGAAGTAGTTAGTTTACCTGAAAACACACAAGATATTTCTGAACAGGAAGCAGAACAGCTCGCTAAAATTAAAGAACCTTTAGAAAAGTTAACTGCTGTACTTGTCAGCTCCAAAGATGCAGCTCAGAAACCAGACATATCTAAAATAGAAGCAAGTGAATTAAAACAGGCTATTGCTTCGTTGAAGGAATCAGTCCAAAATGTAACATTATCGTCACCTGAAGCTCAAACTCTAAAAATCCTTGATGCACCTTTAAAGAAGCTTACTGCAACATTAAGTTTAACAGAAGAACCACCAGTGGAAGAAGTTCCATTGGAGAAGGAACCAGAAAGAAAGGATAAAATGGCTGCAAAATTATTAGCAGAACCTATTGAACAGCTGGTACAAGAAATAAATATTTTGAAATTGCAACAACAAGAAGTACAAGGTTCACCTCAAGTAGCAGTGCTCTCTGTGATTGAATCTGAAGAAACATTGAATGACATAAAGAAAGCTCTTGAAGAAGTAGTTAGTTTACCTGAAAACACACAAGATATTTCTGAACAGGAAGCAGAACAACTTGCTAAAATTAAAGAACCTTTGGAGAAGTTAACTGCTGTACTTGTCAGCTCCAAAGATGCAGCTCAGAAACCAGACATATCTAAAATAGAAGCAAGTGAATTAAGGCAGGCTATTGCTTCGTTAAAGGAATCAGTCCAAAATGTAACATTATCGTCACCTGAAGCTCAAACTGTAAATATCCTTGCTGCACCTTTAAAGAAGCTTACTGCAACATTAAGTTTAACAGAAGAACCGCCAGTAGAAGAAGTTCCATTGGAGAAGGAACCAGAAAGAAAGGATAAAAAAGGCTGCAAAATTATTAGCAGAACCTATTGAACAGCTGGTACAAGAAATAAATATTTTGAAATTGCAACAACAAGAAGTACAAGGTTCACCTCAAGTAGCAGTGCTCTCTGTGATTGAATCTGAAGAAACATTGAATGACATACAGAAAGCTCTTGAAGAAGTAGTTAGTTTACCTGAAAACACACAAGATATTTCTGAACAGGAAGCAGAACAGCTCGCTAAAATTAAAGAACCTTTGGAGAAGTTAACTGCTGTACTTGTCAGCTCCAAAGATGCAGCTCAGAAACCAGACATATCTAAAATAGAAGCAAGTGAATTAAAACAGGCTATTGCTTCGTTGAAGGAATCAGTCCAAAATGTAACATTATCGTCACCTGAAGCTCAAACTGTAAAAATTCTTGATGCACCATTAAAGAAGCTTACTGCAACATTAAGTTTAACAGAAGAACCAATTAGTGGAAGAAGTTCCATTAGAAAAGGAACCAGAAAGAAAGGATAAAATGGCTGCAAAATTATTAGCAGAACCTATTGAACAGCTGGTACAAGAAATAAATATTTTGAAATTGCAACAACAAGAAGTACAAGGTTCACCTCAAGTAGCAGTGCTCTCTGTGATTGAATCTGAAGGAACATTGAATGACATAAAGAAAGCTCTTGAAAAAGTAGTTAGTTTACCTGAAAACACACAAGATATTTCTGAACAGGAAGCAGAACAACTCGCTAAAATTAAAGAACCTTTGGAGAAGTTAACTGCTGTACTTGTCAGCTCCAAAGATGCAGCTCAGAAACCAGACATATCTAAAATAGAAGCAAGTGAATTAAAACAGGCTATTGCTTCGTTGAAGGAATCAGTCCAAAATGTAACATTATCGTCACCTGAAGCTCAAACTGTAAAAATTTTGATGCACCATTAAAGAAGCTTACTGCAACATTAAGTTTAACAGAAGAACCACCAGTGGAAGAAGTTCCATTAGAAAAGGAACCAGAAAGAAAGGATAAAATGGCTGCAAAATTATTAGCAGAACCTATTGAACAGCTGGTACAAGAAATAAATATTTTGAAATTGCAACAACAAGAAGTACAAGGTTCACCTCAAGTAGCAGTGCTCTCTGTGATTGAATCTGAAGGAACATTGAATGACATAAAGAAAGCTCTTTGAAGAAGTAGTTAGTTTACCTGAAAACACACAAGATATTTCTGAACAGGAAGCAGAACAACTCAGCTAAAATTAAAGAACCTTTGGAGAAGTTAACTGTTGTACTTGTCAGCTCCAAAGATGCAGCTCAGAAACCAGACATATCTAAAATAGAAGCAAGTGAATTAACAGGCTATTGCTTCGTTGAAGGAATCAGTCCAAAATGTAACATTATCGTCACCTGAAGCTCAAACTGTAAAAATCCTTGATGCACCATTAAAGAAGCTTACTGCAACATTAAGTTTAACAGAAGAACCAATTAGTAGAAGAAGTTCCATTGGAGAAGGAACCAGAAAGAAAAGATAAAATGGCTGCAAAATTATTGGCAGAACCTATTGAACAGCTGGTACAAGAAATACATATTTTGAAATTGCAACAGCAAGAAGTACAAGGTTCACCTCAAGTAGCAGTGCTCTCTGTGATTGAATCTGAAGAAACATTGAATCACATAAAGAAAGCTCTTGAAGAAGTAGTTAGTTTACCTGAAAACACACAAGATATTTCTGAACAGGAAGCAGAACAGCTCGCTAAAATTAAAGAACCTTTAGGAGAAGTTAACTGCTGTACTTGTCAGCTCCAAAGATGCAGCTCAGAAACCAGACATATCTAAAATAGAAGCAAGTGAATTAAAACAGGCTATTGCTTCGTTGAAGGAATCAGTCCAAAATGTAACATTATCGTCACCTGAAGCTCAAACTGTAAAAATTCTTGATGCACCATTAAAGAAGCTTACTGCAACATTAAGTTTAACAGAAGAACCACCAGTGGAAGAAGTTCCATTAGAAAAGGAACCAGAAAGAAAGGATAAAATGGCTGCAAAATTATTAGCAGAACCTATTGAACAGCTGGTACAAGAAATAAATATTTTGAAATTGCAACAACAAGAAGTACAAGGTTCACCTCAAGTAGCAGTGCTCTCTGTGATTGAATCTGAAGAAACATTGAATGACATAAAGAAAGCTCTTGAAGTAGTTAGTTTACCTGAAAACACACAAGATATTTCTGAACAGGAAGCAGAACAGCTCGCTAAAATTAAAGAACCTTTAGAAAAGTTAACTGCTGTACTTGTCAGCTCCAAAGATGCAGCTCAGAAACCAGACATATCTAAAATAGAAGCAAGTGAATTAAAAGGCAGGCGTTGAAGGAATCAGTCCAAAATGTAACATTATCGTCACCTGAAGCTCAAACTGTAAAAATTTTGATGCACCATTAAAGAAGCTTACTGCAACATTAAGTTTAACAGAAGAACCACCAGTGGAAGAAGTTCCATTAGAAAAGGAACCAGAAAGAAAGGATAAAATGGCTGCAAAATTATTAGCAGAACCTATTGAACAGCTGGTACAAGAAATAAATATTTTGAAATTGCAACAACAAGAAGTACAAGGTTCACCTCAAGTAGCAGTGCTCTCTGTGATTGAATCTGAAGGAACATTGAATGACATAAAGAAAGCTCTTGAAAAAGTAGTTAGTTTACCTGAAAACACACAAGATATTTCTGAACAGGAAGCAGAACAGCTCGCTAAAATTAAAGAACCTTTAGAAAAGTTAACTGCTGTACTTGTCAGCTCCAAAGATGCAGCTCAGAAACCAGACATATCTAAAATAGAAGCAAGTGAATTAAAACAGGCTATTGCTTCGTTGAAGGAATCAGTCCAAAATGTAACATTATCGTCACCTGAAGCTCAAACTGTAAAAATTCTTGATGCACCATTAAAGAAGCTTACTGCAACATTAAGTTTAACAGAAGAACCAATAGTGGAAGAAGTTCCATTAGAAAAGGAACCAGAAAGAAAGGATAAAATGGCTGCAAAATTATTAGCAGAACCTATTGAACAGCTGGTACAAGAAATAAATATTTTGAAATTGCAACAACAAGAAGTACAAGGTTCACCTCAAGTAGCAGTGCTCTCTGTGATTGAATCTGAAGGAACATTGAATGACATAAAGAAAGCTCTTGAAAAAGTAGTTAGTTTACCTGAAAACACACAAGATATTTCTGAAAAGGAAGCAGAACAACTCGCTAAAATTAAAGAACCTTTGGAGAAGTTAACTGCTGTACTTGTCAGCTCCAAAGATGCAGCTCAGAAACCAGACATATCTAAAATAGAAGCAAGTGAATTAAGGCAGGCTATTGCTTTGTTGAAAGAGTCAGTCCAAAATGTAACATTATCGTCACCTGAAGCTCAAACTGTAAATATCCTTGATGCACCTTTAAAGAAGCTTACTGCGACATTAAGTTTAACAGAAGAACCGCCAGTAGAAGAAGTTCCATTGGAGAAGGAACCAGAAAGAAAGGATAAAAAGGCTGCCAAATTATTAGCAGAACCTATTGAACAGCTGGTACAAGAAATAAATATTTTGAAATTGCAACAACAAGAAGTACAAGGTTCACCTCAAGTAGCAGTGCTCTCTGTGATTGAGTCTGAAGAGACATTGCATAACATAAAGAAAGCTCTTGAAGAAGTAGTTAGTTTACCTGAAAACACACAAGATATTTCTGAACAGGAAGCAGAACGACTTGCTAAAATTAAAGAACCTTTGGAGAAGCTAACTGCTGTACTTGTCAGCTCCAAAGATGCAGCTCAGAAACCAGACATATCTAAAATAGAAACAAGTGAATTAAAACAGGCTATTACTTTGTTGAAAGAATCAGTCCAAAATGTAACATTATCGTCACCTGAAGCTCAAACTGTAAATATTCTTGATGAACCATTAAAGAAACTTAGTGCAACATTGAGCATATTAGAAAAATCACCAAAGACACCTCATGAATTGTCTAGTACTGATAAAAAATATTTAGAACTCATACGTAGTTTACAGCTACCTGTTTCTCAGCTGATCGAAGAAATGAAAATTTTGAAATCCAAAGAAGAATTGCTACCAAAACATCTGAATATTTTATTAAAATCAAAAGATTGTTTGAGTCAAGTAAACGAAGCTTTAGGTTCTATTGAAACTACATTTGAAGTTGGATGCGGTGACAAAGTTCCACAAGAAATTCATGATATACTGAATATTCTGATTGCACCTTTAGAAAATCTTCTGATTGAGAACGTAAAAATTAACTCGTTACTAGAGAAATCTATGGATAAAATTGATATTAGTAATCTTCAGAGAGCATTTGCATCGGTTAGCAATAATATAGAACCAGTCCTTTTAATGCCAGTACTATCCAGTTCTTTGGAAACACTATCTATATCTCTGAAAGATCTTAATCAAATTATGAAAGAAATCTCGAATGATTTATTAGAGTTTATTAGAACAGAGAAGGAACAGAAGGTTCAATCATGGTTACAACCTTTATCATCAGTACTAGAGGAAATCCGTACTTTAAACAAAGAAATCCAGGAGGCTAAAACAAAACCATCCAAGGCTTTGCAAAGCTTGAATATTATAGAAAATAGTCTTTCAAATACTATTAACGATCTAAAGACTATTGGACTTAAAGGAAGTAAAAACCTTGAAGAGATTTTAAAACATTTTTGTGAAGCAAGCAAACATCCATTTGAAAATATGCAACAAGCAATTTTAGCAGTGAAAGAGTCATTAAATGCTCCTGAAATTTTGACAATGGAAAGATCTTCTGTATGTCATGGATTAAAATCTGCAGTTGAATTCATTGACAAAGTATACTCAGAGGGAAAATATGCAGATTTAAACCCACAAATCACATTATCTAACTTAAAAGAGGCAATCACGGAAGTGATACAAAACCTTAATAAAGAAAGAAATGACTTCAAAGCTGTGTTTAATTTAAAAAATTCCTTGGAAGGGTTAAGAACTACTGTTCAGCAAATCAATGACAATAAATCTGTGTTTGAGAACATTCAAGAGGAAAGTATATTGAAATTTATAACTTTAGGAGAACCGTTGAAAATGATGTTGGAGAATTTAAGTGTAGTAGATGCTATAGGTGACAACACAAGTGATTTTAATACCGACTATGCCGCAAAAGTTAACTCTTTAACTGACCAGCTTACAGGTCTGTCGCTATTCTTAGGTGATATTTTGAACGATCCTCAATCTCTGACCTATGTCGAAAACAGGGGACTAGATATTATTCATATTCTTAACGATACTATAAAAAATACCAACGAAATAACAGAAAGTATGTCATTAAACGAAAAAATGGAAATACTCAATCAGTCTCTAGGTATATTTGGTACTAATTTGAAGGACTTGAAAAAACAACTTGTAATAATAGCTGCAAAGAAAAGAAATGATTATAAATTTGCTAAAGATCTTGAAAACGAGGCTAAAGAAGTAATAAACAGTATCTACAGAGACACGTTGATTTATAGTGGTGTCCAACCTTTGACTTTGTTACTAGACACTATAAAGAATAACTGTAACGAGTTATTGTTAGTTACAGATGACCTACCAGATGATATAGATGCAAACCTAGTTGAGAACTTAAAGTTATCAAACGAATTTAAAGCATTTAGAAGTATTGTAAAATCTGTTAGGAGTGAGGATGATATTATCAGCAAGAAAAAAGAATTAAAACGCATTTTGAGAAAGCTAGATGGTGAACTAAAAAGTGGAATTAATTTGACAAAGAATTCCAAAGTTTTCAGTAATGTTTCTGATGTGTTAAAAGTAGTAAAAAAGGTATTCAAAGATATCTCCTCTGATATTGATAAGCTGGAAAAAGCAGAAAATCAAATTTTAGTTCAAGAAGAACAAGGCGAAGATCAATCTGATAAAGAAAGAGCTAAAATAGACGAAAATGAAAAGGAAGTTGAAGAAATTATTGATAATGAAAGTCAAGCCGTAGAATCTGAAATAGTCGATGATAAAAAAACTGAATTAGGGAAAGAAATAACTGAAAAAGAACAGGAAGTTATTGACGAAGAATATAAACGGTTAGAAGAAGAACAAAAGGCTGCTAAAGAAGCAGAAGAAACTGCTAAAAGACTAAAAGAAGAATTGGAGGTAAAAGAAAAAGCTGAAGAACAAGCTAGATTGGAAAAAGAACAGCACGAAAAACAGCAGCAAGAAGCGGAGAAAAAAGCTAAATTAGATAAGAAGTTAGCTGAAGAAAAAGAGGCTGAAATTGCTGCTCAAAAAGCTAAAGAAGAACAAGAACTTGAAGAAAAAAGAATTGCAGAAGAAAAAGCAAAGGCAGAAGCTAAAGCTAAAAAAGACAAAGAAAAGAAAGAAAAACTAGAATTACAAACAAAGGAGGAACAAAAACGCTTAGAAGAAGAAAGGGCTGCTAAAGAAGCAGAAGAAACTGCTAGAAGAGAAAAAGAAGAGTTGGAAGCAAAAGAAAAGGCCGAGGCATTAGCTAAAAAACAGCAAGAAGACGCTGAAGAAAAGGCTAAATTAGAAAAGAAGTTAGCTGAAGAAAAAGAAGCAGAAATTGCTGCTCAAAAAGCTAAAGAAGAACAAGAGCTCGAAGAAAAAAGAATTGCAGAAGAAAAAGCAAAGGCAGAAGCTAAAGCTAAAAAAGACAAAGAAACGAAAGAAAAACTAGAATTACAAGCAAAGGAGGAACAAAAACGCTTAGAAGAAGAAAGGGCTGCTGAAGAAGCAGAAGAAACTGCTAGAAAACAAAAAGAAGAGTTAGAAGCGAAAGAAAAGGCGGAAGCATTAGCTAAAAAACAACAACTGGAAGCAGAAGAAAAGGCTAAATTAGAAAAGAAGTTTGCTGAAGAAAAAGAAGCAGAAATTGCTGTTCAAAAAGCTAAAGAAGAACAAGAACTTGAAGAAAGAAGAATTGCAGAAGAAAAAGCAAAGGCAGAAGCTAAAGCTAAAAAGGCTAAAGAAAAGAAAGAAAAATTAGAATTACAAGCAAAGGAGGAACATAAACGCTTAGAAGAGGAAAGGGTTGCTAAAGAAGCAGAAGAAACTGCTAGAAAACAAAAAGAAGAGTTAGAAGCGAAAGAAAAGGCGGAAGCATTAGCTAAAAAACAACAACAGGAAGCAGAAGAAAAGGCTAAATTAGAAAAGAAGTTAGCTGAAGAAAAAGAGACAGAAATTGCTGCTCAAAAGGCTAAAGAAGCCCAAGAGCTTGAAGAAAAACGAATTGCAGAAGAAAAAGCAACGGCAGAAGCTAAAGCTAAAAAAGCCAAAGAAAAGAAAGAAAAACTGGAATTAAAAGCTAAAGAAGAACAAAAACGCCTCGAAGAAGAAAAGGCTGTTAAAGAAGCAGAAGAAACTGCTAGAAGACAAAAAGAAGAGTTCGAAGCAAAAGAAAAGGCCGAGGCATTAGCTAAAAAACATCAAGAAGAAGCAGAAGAAAAAGTTAAATTAGAAAAAAAGTTAGCTGAAGAAAAAGAGGCAGAAATTGCTGCTCAAAAAGCTAAAGAAGAACAGGAGCTTGAAGACAAAAGGATTGCAGAAGAAAAAGCAAAAGCAGAAGCTAAAGCTAAAAAGGCTAAAGAAAAGAAAGAAAAACTAGAATTACAAGCAAAGGAGGAACAAAAACGCTTAGAAGAAGAAAGGGCTGCTAAAGAAGCAGAAGAAACTGCTAGAAAACTAAAAGAAGAGTTGGAAGCAAAGGAAAAGGCTGAGGCATTAGCTAAAAAACAGCAAGAAGAAGCAGAAGAAAAAGCTAAATTAGAAAAGAAGTTAGCTGAAGAAAAAGAGGCAGAAATTGCTGCTCAAAAAGCTAAAGAAGAACAAGAGCTTGAAGAAAAACGAATTGCAGAAGAAAAAGCAAAGGCAGAAGCTAAAGCTAAAAAAGCCAAAGAAAAGAAGGAAAAACTAGAATTACAAGCAAAGGAGGAACAAAAACGCTTAGAAGAAGAAAGGGCTGCTAAAGAAGCAGAAGAAACTGCTAGAAAACTAAAAGAAGAGTTGGAAGCAAAGGAAAAGGCTGAGGCATTAGCTAAAAAACAGCAAGAAGAAGCTGAAGAAAAGGCTAAATTAGAAAAGAAGTTAGCTGAAGAAAAAGAGGCAGAAATTGCTGCTCAAAAGGCTAAAGAAGAACAAGAGCTTGAAGAAAAACGAATTGCAGAAGAAAAAGCAAAGGCAGAAGCTAAAGCTAAAAAGAAAAGAAAAGAAAGAAAAACTAGAATTACAAGCAAAGGAGGAACAAAAACGCTTAGAAGAAGAAAGGGTTGCTAAAGAAGCAGAAGAAACTGCTAGAAAACAAAAAGAAGAGTTCGAAGCAAAAGAAAAGGCCGAGGCATTAGCTAAAAAACATCAAGAAGGAGCAGAAGAAAAAGCTAAATTAGAAAAGAAGTTAGCTGAAGAAAAAGAGGCAGAAATTGCTGCTCAAAAAGCTAAAGAAGAACAAGAGCTTGAGGAAAAAAAGATTGCAGAAGAAAAAGCAAAGGCAGAAGCTAAAGCTAAAAAAGTCAAAGAAAAGAAGGAAAAACTCGAATTAAAAGCTAAAGAAGAACAAAAACGTTTAGAACAAGAAAAGGCTGCTAAAGAGGCAGAAGAAACTGCCAGAAGACAAAAAGAAGAGTTGGAAGCAAAAGAAAAAGCGGAAGCATTAGCTAAAAAACAGCAAGAAGAAGCTGAAGAAAAGGCTAAATTAGAAAAGAAGTTAGCTGAAGAAAAAGAGGCAGAAATTGCTGCTCAAAAGGCTAAAGAAGAACAAGAGCTTGAAGAAAAAAGGATTGCAGAAGAAAAAGCAAAGGCAGAAGCTAAAGCTAAAAAAGCCAAAGAAAAGAAGGAAAAACTAGAATTACAAGCAAAGGAGGAACAAAAACGCTTAGAAGAAGAAAGGGCTGCTAAAGAAGCAGAAGAAACTGCTAAAAAACAAAAAGAAGAGTTGGAAGCAAAAGAAAAAGCGGAAGCATTAGCTAAAAAACAGCAAGAAGAAGCTGAAGAAAAGGCTAAATTAGAAAAGAAGTTAGCTGAAGAAAAAGAGGCAGAAATTGCTGCTCAAAAGGTTAAAGAAGTACAAGAGCTTGAGGAAAAAAAGATTGCAGAAGAAAAAGCAAAGGCAGAAGCTAAAGCTAAAGCTAAAAAAGTCAAAGAAAAGAAGGAAAAACTCGAATTAAAAGCTAAAGAAGAACAAAAACGTTTAGAACAAGAAAAGGCTGCTAAAGAGGCAGAAGAAACTGCCAGAAGACAAAAAGAAGAGTTGGAAGCAAAAGAAAAGGCAGAAGTATTAGCTAAAAAACAACAAGAGGAAGCAGACGAAAAGGCTAAATTAGAAAAGAAGTTAGCTGAAGAAAAAGAGGCAGAAATTGCTGCTCAAAAGGCTAAAGAAGAACAAGAGCTTGAAGAAAAAAGGATTGCAGAAGAAAAAGCAAAAGCAGAAGCTAAAGCTAAAAAGGCTAAAGAAAAGAAAGAAAAACTAGAATTACAAGCAAAGGAGGAACAAAAACGCTTAGAAGAACAAAGGGCTGCTAAAGAAGCAGAAGAAACTGCTAGAAAACAAAAAGAAGAGTTAGAAGCAAAGGAAAAGGCTGAGACATTAGCTAAAAAACAGCAAGAAGAAGCAGAAGAAAAGGCTAAATTAGAAAAGAAGTTAGCTGAAGAAAAAGAGGCAGAAATTGCTGCTCAAAAAGCTAAAGAAGAACAAGAGCTTGAAGAAAAACGAATTGCAGAAGAAAAAGCAAAGGCAGAAGCTAAAGTTAAAAAAGCCAAAGAAAAGAAGGAAAAACTAGAATTACGAGAAAAGGAGGAACAAAAACGCTTAGAAGAAGAAAGGGCTGCTAAAGAAGCAGAAGAAACTGCTAGAAAACAAAAAGAAGAGTTGGAAGCAAAAGAAAAGGCAGAAGCATTAGCTAAAAAACAGCAAGAAAAAGCAGAAGAAAAGGCTAAATTTGAAAAGAAGTTAGCTGAAGAAAAAGAGGCAGAAATTGCTGCTCAAAAAGCTAAAGAGCAACAAGAACTTGAAGATAAAAAGAAAAAGGAAGAAGCAAAAGAAGCTAAAGCGAAAAAAGCCAAAGAGAAGAAAGAAAAACTGGAATTAAAGGATAAAGAGGAACAAAAGCAGTTAGAACAAGAACAGAAAGCTAAGGAGATAGAAGAAAAGGTTAGAAGAGAAAAAGAAGCGTTGGAGATAAAAGAAGAAGCTGATGCAAAGGCTAGATTACAAAAAGATGAAAACGACAAGCTAGAAAAACAAAAACAAGAAATAACTAAATTAGAAAATAAATCTGTTGAAGATCAAGACGTAGAAGTTGTCACCGGAAAAAACAAGGATCAAGATGGGGTTAAAAAGAAGAGAAGGGATTCCGATACCAAAACAACTGCAGAAACCAAGATTAGGAAAACAAAACCTAAAGAAGACAAAAAAGATATTACCAATTTGGAAAATGGTATAATAGAAGACGGAGAGATTCCTAAATATAAAACTGATGTTAAGCTTGAAGAAAAAGTCTATGAGAAGACCCATGATGAAAAAGAGGTAGGAACCTTTACTGGAAAAGACAGTTTTATTTCAGACGAAGATCTTTATAAACCCACAACATATCATGGACCAAGACATTTAGGTAAAACTGTAATATAATCAAATTTAACTAACAAAAATGATACTATTCCATATTTAGGAAAGAAACCTCTGTTTACAACATCTTTAACTGACAGGGCCTGTACTGTTAATACCAGGATTAAAATGACTTGTAGTGTAATCAGTGAAAGTCCAATGGTTCTCTCTTGGTTCAAGGATGGAGAGAATATTGATGAAAAATCAAACTATTATCAAGGTTTGTTACAATCTTATTTTATTATACATTAAAAAGCAAGTTTTCTTTGTATTTCTAGCTTTCGAAAATAATGTTGCAACTTTGGAAATACTGAATGCTTCACTATCAGACAGTGGTGAATACTCTTGCGTGGCTAAAAACGAACATGGAGCAAGTTCAACTTCTGCACTTTTACATGTTAAGGAAAGTTTTGATGTAAGACCTGTTAAACCAAGTTTCACCAGAGGTATTAGGGAGCAATATAAAGTGACCAGTGACGAAGCTACGTTGGAATGTAGAATAAGGTTTGAAATTTTAATACAACAGTGTGAATTAATACCTAAACTATATTATTATGATTTTTTTAGATGTCAGCCTGCTCCAAAACTAAAATGGTTCAAAGATAATGAAGAAATAGACATGTCAAATAGTAAATATATTCAAAGTTATCTAGCTGATGGTATTGCCAAGCTTACCATGAAGAATCCAGTCAAGACAGATAGTGGAATATATACTTGCAAAGCTGAAGTTGGTGACTGGTTTGACCAAGTGTCTTATGAGTACAACTTCACCTCCAAAGAAGAGTATATTAAGAAGAAGGTTAAGGAACGAGTTACATCAAGAGATACTAGTGCTTCCAGGTAATAATTTATATACAGGGTGCTACAAATTCGGTGTACCTAGCTATATTCCTCTTCTTTAGCCATCTGTATACTAGATTAATTATTTCAGGTACTACACTCCAATAACTGTGCCTCTGACATTCGGTGACAGTTTACCACCACCAAGAACAAGAAGACCATATTTTTCGGGTGTTCTTACCGATGCTTATGTTCCTCGTGGGGGTGTTATGGCTTTGCAAGTCGAAGTTAGAGGCTCACCGGCTGAAGTCAGCTGGTTTAAAGGGTCCCAAAAGTTGTCCAGGTCATCGGCCAGGCATAGGACATTCCTTGATAAGGATGTGCATACGTTAATGATTCCTAATATCAACGAACTAGAAAGTGGAAAGTATACATGCAGGTACGTTTTCGAAACTTATGATTACACTAAGCTTCTTATTCTCTTGAAAATTGTCTGTATTCTAAATGCTTATATTGAAATTAGAGGAACAAGCTTCTACGTAATCCAAGTCTACAAAACAGCTGATTTATTATGAAGTAACATTACAAAAGGATTTAAGCTTATTTTTTTATTTTTTTTGCTTTTTTATTTCTAATTATACTATTTTTTATTAATGTATTTTTAGGGCTGCTAATGCTGAAGGTAAAATTGAGACATCAGCATTCGTCCACGTAGTGCACCCGTCAAAAATTCGAGATGGAAAACCGGCCATGTTCCTGTCAAGGCCTGACAAAATACTTAATATCACTTCAGGGGAAGATATAAATGTATCTTTCAGAGTTACTGGAGATCCCAAACCGAAAAGTAAGTAAGACCTACTAATTTTTCTTAAATTTAAATATTTAATAGGTGCAGAACTTATGTTCATATTGTCTTTAATTCATATTATATTCCTAAACTCGTCCGTTCATACTGTCATTGAGGTTGCATATATCATATTGCGTTATGTTTTCCCATTCTTCTTTAAGGACCAAACCAAATTCATTTAATGAAACTGGTACCGCTTCGCGACCTCTAACCCTCCTGCCAAGCATTTCCCAAACGTCGAACATGATGGAGAGTTCATAGTAGTATATAGTTCACAATAATCACCAAAACCGCCTTGTCATGTTGAAAAATAACTTCAAAAAGACATGATAATTGAAAAAATTGCAAATTGTTGGTGGAAAGTTGATTTCGTTCTTAAACATTAACTAGAAGACAAAAAGAAGAGTTGGAAGCAAAAGAAAAGGCTGAAGCATTAGCAAAAAAACAAGAGGAAGCAGAAGACAAGGCTAAATTAGAAAAGAAGTTAGCTGAAGAAAAAGAGGCAGAAATTCTGTGCCTCTGGAATTCTCCAACTGCTCAGAAAGCTAAAGAAGAACAAGATCTTGAGGAAAAAAGGATTGCAGAAGAAAAAGCAAAAGCAGAACCTAAAGCTAAAAAAAGCTAAAGAAAAGAAAGAAAAACTGGAATTAAAACCTAAAGAGGAACAAAAACGTCTCGAAGAAGAGAAGGCTGCTAAAGAAGCAGAAGAAACAGCTAGACGGAAAAAATAAGAGCAAAGGAGAAGCAAAAACGCTTAGAAGAAGAAAGAGCTAAATTAGAAAAGAAGTTAGCTGAAGAAAAAGAGGCTGAAATTGCTGCTCAAAAATCTAAAGAACAAGAGCTTGAGGAAAGAAGGGTTGCAGAAGAAAAAGCAAAGGCAGAAGCTAAATCTAAAAAGGCTAAAGAAAAGAAAGAAAAACTAGAATTACAAGCAAAAGAGGAGCAAAAATGCTTAGAAGAAGAAAGAGCTGCTAAAGAAGCAGAAGAAACTGCTAGAAAACAAAATGAAGAGTTGGAGGCGAAAGAAATGGCTGAAGCATTAGCTAAAAAAACCAAGAGGAAGCAGATGAAAAGGCTAAATTAGAAAAGAAGTTAGCTGCAGAAAAAGAGGCAGAACTTGCTGCTCAAAAAGCTAAAGAAGAGCAAGAGCTTGAAGAAAAAAGGATTGCAGAAGAAAAAGCAAAAGCAGAAGCTAAAGCTAAAAAGGCTAAAGAAAAGAAAGAGAAACTAGAATTAAAAGCTAAAGAGGAACAAAAACGCCTCGAGGAAGAGAAGGCTGTTAAAGAAGCAGAAGAAACAGCTAGACGGAAAAAATAAAAGTTGGAAGCAAAAGAAAAAGCGGGGAAGAATTGACTAAAAAACAGCAAGCAGAAGCTGAAGAAAAAGCTAAATTAGAAAAGAAGTTAGCTGAAGATAAAGAGGCAGAAATTGCTGCCCAAAAAGCTAAAGAAGAGCAAGAGCTTGAAGGAAAAAGGATTGCAGAAGAAAAAGCAAAGGCTAATAGCTAAAAAGGCTACAGAAAAGAAAGAAAAACTGGAATTAAAAGCTAAAGAGGAACAAAAACGCCTCGAAGAAAAAATTGCAAATTGTTGGTGGCAAGTTCATTTCGTTCTTAAAAATTAACCAAGGCATGTATTGACATGATTCAAAAAACAAAATGCTCAGAAGACATGGTTCTGACCGTAAAATTATATCTCCGTTGCGTTTTTTTTGCTTCTGAGTGTATAGAAATTTTTAATATGGCAAGAAAATAATATTTATCTCTTTTTAATTATTTCCTGTTCTAGAAATGTTTTACTACAACTACAACTTTTGTTACAGCAGCACTATCTCTATGATTTTTTTTTCCCTCTTTGATGGCCACTTTTCAATACTCCTTACCTTTCCCTTCATAGCTTAAACGTATCTAAACCATATATTTTTATATTTTCAGTAACATGGATGAAGGGTCTGACGGACATAATTGACAGTTTGAGGTCGATGAAATGGACCTCTGATGACTACGTTCGTCTCACACTGAAACGTGCAGCTTTTGACGATGCAGGAACCTACTGCATCATGGCAAAGAACAGAATTGGATGTGACAGAGCCTTCTTCACTGTCAGATTGAGAGAAAGAGCACGATCTTTAACGCCGACCAGAGAACCAGTGGAGAATATTTTGGACGATATACCATCATACAGAGAACGTTTATACAGGAAAGGTAAAGTTAGTAATGAGTGACTCTGGTCTTCTAGATTGTGGATTGCAGCTTCGACCTAAAATTCTTATTATTATTATTACTATACAGGGTGGTCCGAACTGTATTCCGGAAACTTCGGCAGCATATTCTGCAAATAAAAATACGTAAAAAAGTTCGTATAAATGTGTGTCCTAAAATGCTTAGTTTCGGAGATACGGGGTGTAGAAGTTTCATTTTTATTTCAATTCTTTCCAAATAATTTCTGAAATAACGTGAATATTTGGGTAAAATCTGTCTCTGGTAGTTTTTTAACCTGAGAAATTTAATTTTGATGTCAATATGACCCCTATTTGTAGAGGGCGCCACCTACATATTTTTTGACTGGTTTGAAGAGTAATAACTTTTCGTCCGTACCTGTATAAAACTACTGAGTAAAAAATATGCATTAACGACATTTTTTACGTAAAAAAGTCTCTTGGTAAAAATCGCTACGAGTAATGGTTCTCGAGATATCTGGAATTGAAATTATCAATACCTGTCATCACTGACATAAATTGAACATGTTATGACTAAGTTATTAGACTGAAATAATAAATTTGACAATTTGAAACAGAAACTGTTTTATCATCATTTTTTCAAAGAAAAATTTTCTTTGAATTTTCTTTCTTTATTTGGAAAAAATCGAAATAAAAATGAAACTTCTACACCCTGTATCTCCGAAACTAAACATTTTAGGACATACATTTATACGAACTTTTTTACTTATTTTCATCTTCAGAATATGCTGCCAAATTTTTCGGAATACAATTCAGACCACCCTGTATATTATTCCAATGTAATCTTGGAAACATTTTATCTAAATGCAATTTTAATACAAATTCTAGATGTACCTGGACCAATTCCATCCGAACCCTTCATCAAAGACTCTGGAAGGGATTGGGTATCGTTGGGCTGGCCTAAAGCCCTTCAAACCGGAATAGCGCCGGTTCTCGCTTACAGGGTGGACGTCTGGCATAAAGGTAGCGAAGGAGGAGCCACTTGGACAACCCTGGGCATGAGCCCTTTGACAAGTTTCGACGCGTTCAAGTTAAAACCTGGCGAAGAGTATCAGTTTAGGATAACGCCAAGAAACAGGTAGAAAAAAATCAGTGCTTGAAATATACAGGGTGATTCAGGGTCATGGTAGGTTAAAGGTTTATAGGGAACAAGTCATATGATTTTTTTGAAAATCTTGAAGAATCACCCTGTATATATAGATATGTTGTAATTAATATGTTGTTAATTATTTATTTATTGTAGGTATGGATGGGGTGAGAGCATATCCACAACTCCGTTTGTTGTAGGAAAACCTGTAGAAATGCCAGAATTTACTAAAATCTTGCCAGGTCAAATGAAGGTGCTTGTAGGTTCTGAAGTCACTTTGGAGTGTGAAGTAAGTAAAAATGGTATATGATTGAAAAAAAAAACGGCGTCGAAGACGGCTGGGAAAAGACAATCGATGATAATTTTGGCTAGGCATTTGTTTCAGTGAATACCGATTTTTAGTATCGAATGTGCTTAATAAAATAAAATGATTAAACAAAGTTCTGTTCGTTCGTGATACAAAATACTGGATACAATTAATAATAACATTGAGTTTTGACTCACTCTGTATATATCAAACAACAATTGCACATTTTAGTAGGCTGAATTTAAAAGAAGACAGTATTAAGACCGTACTTCCGATTAAAAAGTATCAATAATTTTGAGAGTGCGGCAAATAAAGTTTAAAAATGTGTTTTTTTTTAATTGGATAGATTTCTGTTCGAAAAAATCAACAGAAGTCCTTTGTTTGAAATTTATCGACGTTTCGCAAAATTTATTTGCATCTTCAGGACAATTTAAATCTGGACTTTCTTAGTCATATCCATTAATACACGGATGGTATAGAGGGGAGTGGTATATGTTGCTCTCTGTATACGGTCAACGTGGTATATCTGCACTGCTTGTCTTTGAAAAGAAAAAAATTTCGTGATATTTCTCTATACCTAATATCGATGTTATGTTTTTTTTTAATGTAAGTGTAAATTGTCCTGAAGATGCAAATAAATTTTGCGAAACGTCGATAAATTTAAAACAAAGGACTTCTGTTGATTTTTTTCGATCCTAATCCAATTAAAAAAAACACACATTATATATTATTGGATCGACAACAATAAAAATTAGATAGAATATTACACTTTGTTTTTTTTTGAACGGGAATTTAATGAGCTAGAAAAATATATAGCATTTTGTTTAAATATACCTACACATTTTTAGTCAAAAAATATGTTTGAGTCACCCTGTAGATTGACAAAAATACTTTTAAAATATGAGCAACTATTACCCGCATCTTTTATTCCAAATTTTTTAAGCGCTGAGCCACTCTGTATAATTGAAAATATACATTTATATTAGATTAATAATTTTTAATAATCTTAATATTGGTAATTCATAAATAAATTTTACTCGGTTCGTTATGATTAAAAAAATACATTAATTTAGTTATTTTTATTAGAAATAAGTACTTTTTTCAATCATTTTTTATTGAACCCATTATTTTAGTCTTTTCTATTCAAAAAATCAATGATTTATGATAAAGCAGGCCTTGACTTTGACAGTCCAACATATTCAAAACAATTTTCCATATAAATTGTTTATGTCACCATAAAAAGTCACAGAATTTACTAAGATGTCCAATAATAAAGGTTTTCGATCATGTTTTATTTCTTTATAACAATCTAGTATCTTTGATGAAGAAATTTTGTTATTCTCTATGATTTTATAAGAAATATTGTTTCTTTTTTAGGTAAAAGGTGAACCGTTTCCTAATATTCGCTGGTTAAAAGACAGCGTGGAATTGTATCCCGAAGAAAATGACAGATATGTTATAGAAACGAAAAATGGAGTGTGTGCTTTGACTATACAGAACGTCCAAGACTTCGATACCGGCAGGTTTATGTGTGAAGCAGTAAACAAGGCTGGGAGAGTTTCTACATTTGCCAGGCTTTGTGCAGTTAGTGATTCCAAGATATTGTTGGCAGATAAAAATCTAAAAGAGTAAGTACCTAGTCTAAGTTCTAGTCTCTATCTAGGTTCTAGGTACTACCTAGATAGAGAAATAAATAAAAGTGGGCGTATGAAAGACATCGAAACTATTACCAAATTATTTATTAAAAAAAAATAAAGAATAATACAGGCCAAGTAAATTACGTCTACTGCTTGACCTCCGTCTTTGATGCCGTTTTTTTTTCGAACATATGGTATAAAAAAATACTTTTAACACATTATGTTGTTCTGAGATAACTTTCAAGATGTCAATATATTTCTTCGATTTTCTTCCATTTTTCTTCACTAGAGTGTATATTTTTTTTGTAGTTTCTTAAAAGATTTCGACAACACCAAAGATCTACCTCCTCACTTCAGTATGAGACTCAGAGACCGAAGAGTGCAAATGACGTATTCTGTACGACTCACCTGTCAAGTGGTTGCCTATCCTCAAGCGGAGATTTCTTGGTTCAAAGATGGAGTTCAACTAAAATCTAATGGTAAGAATAACAAGCTCTTTAATTATATTTATATACAGCGTGTCCCAATATTCCGTGGATACGGAACTACTACGTTTTTTTTTATCATCGTAATTTCCGATGCACGTGATCAACTGTGAGTGATTTTGATTGACCAGATTGTGATAGATTTATGAGATGAATGTTAATGTAAAATTGAGAAACAATATATTTATTATATCATTTTTTAAAGATTTTTACGCTTTATTTTTAATATAATAACTAATAATTTTAGTAATTAATTAATTAATTAACAGTAGTCGCTAACTCACAGTAGCAATATTTAAATTTAAGGAAGCAGCTGCTCGCTACAAATCGAAATAAGAAATATCTGAGAAAGTGATATAATTTGCTTACCAATCATACTTACTTCTCTGACTGCAGTCAAGGTTAATAAGCGACCTTTATTTTCACGTTCTCGTTCAAAATAGTTTATCAGGAAAGCTACAAAAGCTCTTTGCTTCGACTGTTTAAATGCTTCGGCATATTTTCGACACACAATTTCAAGAAATGCAATACAAAAACTCGAAAACTTCTTCTTCTTCTTCTTCCTTCTTCATACTAGGCGAATCGCCTGTTTGGTATCGTCGTCTCTACCGGTCAGACTGACAAGTTGTCGCTCCATCGTTTTCGTGGACGTCCTAAGCTTCTGCGACCTAGCGGTGATTTGATTTGTCGCGTGCAACTCTCACTATCCTTCTGTTGTCCATTCTGCTGATATGATCGTTCCATTCTTCCTTTCTGCTGAGTACCCACTCATTTACATTTTCCACCTTGCACGCTCTTCTTATGCTTTCATTTCTCTCCCTGTCCAGAAGCGTCTTTCGAGCTATTCTGCGTAGTACTCTCATTTCGGTTGTTTCTAATAGTTGTTTAGTTTTCGCTGTATCAGGTCGAGTTTCTGCAGTGTATGTCATTATTGGTCGTACCGTTGCCTTGTAAATTCTCGCTTTAGTCTCCACCTCAATGTTTTTATTTCGCCATATTGTATCATTCAGGCATCCTGCTATTCTGGTTGCCTTCGTTGTCCGTTCTCGCACCTCCGCTTCTACATCACCATATCCTGAGATTTCTAAGCCTAGATACTTAAACTTCATCTCTTGCTGAATAACATTACCCTCGACTTCCACTTTGCATCTTAGTGGTACTTTTGATGTCGTCATGCATTTAGTTTTCTGGGTCGATATTATCATATTAAGTGATTTGGCAGTGCAATTAAATCGATGTAATAAGCGCTGTAGATCGTTCTCATTTTCAGCTACCAATACGGCGTCATCGCCATAGCATAGAATAGTAATTTCCTGGTCGCCCATACTGTATCCCTTCAGTAAACGTACATTTCCTATTATTTCGTCCATAATGATGTTGAAAAGAAGAGGGCTCAGGGAGTCACCTTGTCGGATACCACAGCCTACATTTATTGGTTCGGTCAGGACCCCGTTAATTTTAGCTTGAATTTGGTTCGCTTCATATATGTTTTGTATGGTTTTAACGAGGTTGTGTGGGATTTGCCTATTGTAAAGAAGGTGTACAACGTCTCTTAGCTGCACACGGTCGAACGCTTTTTCTAAATCAAAACACATATACGCTGGTTTGTTATATTCGATTGATTTTTCTGTTATCTGTCTTATGACAAAAACCGCGTCTGTGCATGATCTGCCCGATCTGAAACCTTGTTGTTCATCTGCTAAGCATGTTAAGTCGTTAATTTTGATTGTTATCACTTTTGTCGTAAGTTTTAGTGTGGTGCTTAGAAGATTTATGCCTCTATAGTTTGAGGGCAGCTTCTTATCTCCTCTTTTAAACATCAAGATAGTGGTGCTGGTTCGCCATTCATCGGGTATCCTGCTGTATGAGACTTTGGCCGCCATATTTAAGTAATTCGTTTGGGATATCATCTTGCCCTGGGCTCTTCCTATTCTTTAGCTTTCGAAGGGATGTAATTATATCGGCTGCCTCAATCTGTACGTTGTCGTTGGTCATTATTTCGGGTGTATTTAGTTCAACCTCTATTTCTTCTGATTTGTATAGTTCTGACAAGTAATCAATCTAGGATTCCCTTACTATGTGAAACTTAGTCCTTGAAAAAACTGTTTGTGCTTAAAAGTACAATTTTTAAAAAAAGACTATGAAAATTGGCAAAAAAAACAAGAATTACTCCCAAAACAACAACACGATATTATACAAAATAATGACTGACATTATGATAATTATTGTCAAATAATAAACGACAACGTTGCTGATCGCGGCGCAATGTGACCAAATGTGACCAATGTGGCGATAATAAAAATCGCTTTAAACTAATTTTTGCAGTTTTAATCTAAATAAAATATCTGTTATATTCGTTTGATCTATGAAGTAAAATGAAAAGCTGCACGGTATCTTAAGTTATACAACAAATTTAAACATTTTTGCCAAAATTTAATTTAGTCAGGCTTTATATGTTTTAGTGTCAATTTCGATATAATTGACGACGTGCATCGGAAAATGTTTTGCAATTACCGTACTATGTTTGCACTCAAAAAAAATCTGAAGGTTTTTATTTTAGGAACTACTAGGAAACTCTGTATAACAATAAAACTGATATTTCTTTAGATCGTCTGAGTTTTTCATCAGAGGACGACTTCCACACCCTGGAAATGGACAAGGCGGCTCTGGAAGATGCCGGAACCTACTCCGTGTCCGCTCGGAACAAGTTCGGATCCGTATCGTGCAAGTGCTACTTGATGGTGGACAAAGGCATTAAGGCCTACATCGCTCCCAACTTCAGTACCGAACTAGAACCAGTCCAGTGTGAAGTTAGAGAGGGTGAAGAATTGAGGCTCTCTGCTAGGGTTGAGGCCTATCCAAGCGTCGGTGTTATGTGGTACAAAGATGGGGTAAGTGTTCCATTCTGTAGAGGATGTGTCTTTTTTTTTCTTAATTATTAAGGGACTGGACTAAGACCAAGACTAAAAATAGTAAAGATTTTTTAGTAAAAGAGGAGTTTATCAAGATCTGGTAGTAAAAAATTTTAAGCTTAAAATATATTATTATACAGGGTGAGTCTTAAATAAGTGCAAGTATTTTCAGGGCTGGTAGATCTCGATAAAAGAAACATATTTTCTCTTTGTCATTTTTCATATAAGTCCAAAATAACCGAGTTATTTAAGTTTGAAATTTAAAAAAAAATTGCTTTTTCTGAAAAAAATTTTAGAGCCACCGGATTTTTTCTGTATTTGCATCAGGGTTGTTAAGTAGTTTATGAAGCAAAAAACTACGCCAAAAACTACCCGTAGTTTTTTGTATTAACTACGTTTTAAATTTTTAAAAACTACCTTCAAAAACTACATAAAATCTACAATTAAAACTATCTACAAAAATATAGTAAAACATAAACAATTTAGATTTTAAACAAAAATCAAGCCAAATTCTTATCATGGAAGTATGAAGTTATACCACAGATTATACAGATTATAATCTTTGTTTTTTCTTTATTGTTTTTCGTGGTTCCAATTTTTGGAATCGGGCACTAGTTAGGTGACTAGTTTGCGCACATAGCACGCCCACTTATGGCCTCTAAAATTGTGCACAGCGCCTGACCGGCACAGTTATTAGAAAGATATCGGAAAACCGAATAGCGTCATCCAGTATTTACGCGTACCTTATCATGGTTACGATATGCGCGAGTCAATTTTTAACGCCTGACGTAATTTGCGGATCAATTACACCAAGCGTATATGGATTCCACCTCTTCCAATACTAAAGAACCTATAAAGAGTCTTAGGTTTACAGCAGATGACGACTTAGCCCTTCTAAGAGAATTTGTTGCTTGTTGCCCTAAATCCATTGGCAGACGTTGAACAATAAAGCACTGGAAATAAAGCTCTTTAGCCCTTTTGTTTTAAAATACCTAGTATTATTGCTTTAGTTTTATTAGGTAATTTGATATTTAAGTAGCTGGGATTAGTTTTAATTAAATAAATATGGCCCAAAATATGGATTCCACCTCTTCCAATACTAAAGAACCTATAAAGAGTCTTAGGTTTACAGCAGATGACGACTTAGCCCTTCTAAGAGAATTTGTTGCTTGTTGCCCTAAACCCATTTGCAGACGTTGAACAATAAAGCACTGGAAATAAGCACTTTAGCCCTTTAGTTTTAAAATACCCAGTAAACAAAACAATTTCAAAGTTTTAAATTCAAAGTTAGGTTAAGTTTAAATAGCGGACGCGACGCGAACAGAATTCTTTCCGATCCGATAACTATAAATGAAGAGAGTTAATACCACCTCACGTAAAGGAAATAACACCTGGCCTTATTAACGTCCATGCACGCTATTCGGTTTAGCGATATCTCTCTATTACGCTGTTTATTGTTATTTTACGCGAGTTTATTTTTGCGCACAGGAAATTTGACTCGTTTGCACATCGTCATAAAAAACAATTTTCCTACCACGAATTAAGGACAATATTTTTATCTGTATACTTATAGGATACCTAATCTGTGGTTATACCGTATGATCGAATAAAAACGGCGTCAACGATGGCTATGAAATGAAGATCGCTATCATTTTATATGTAAAATTATATGGGAAATGTCATCGATCGTCATTTCCAAGTCAACTGGACGCCGTTTTTTTTTCGATCATACGGTATTATATTTGTATAATACCGTATGTAGGACCGTTTTCTATGAAATACAAAGTAATATTAAACACAAAATAAACTATAAATTCTAATTTTTAACTACTAAGTATCAAAAATATCACATAATAAGGAACAAATTCACAAAATATAGATTTTTTATTTCTTAAATTGATCAACAAACAAAGTTTTTAGGTTATGTTTTCACTGTTATTTTAATAAACTACATTAGTTACATAAACTACACATTTACTACTCGACATTTAAAAACTACTTGTGACATGTAGTAAATGTAGTTTATTAACTACTACGTGTAGTTTAACAACTCTGATTTGCATCCCTTTTAGTGCCGTAACCATAGAGTAAAGCCGTAACTATGGTAATATCAGAGATTAAGAAATTATACCGTGGGAAAATTTGCGGTGAACAGGCAGTTCTAAAGTTTTCGAAAAATATACAGGGAAATTTAAAAGGAAATGCACGATTTTCAACATCTTTTTTTTGCAAAAAAAACTCGTAGACCTGTTCCTGGGGTCGAAATATTTGCACTTATTTAAGACTCACCCTGTATAATAATTTATATTATAAATAATAAAATATATTATTATAATAATATTATTGATATTATAGGTACGTTTAAGACCATCAAGACACTCTGTCATGACTCTATCCCACGACGGCAGAGTAGAACTCACCATAGGACCAATCTCTACCAAAGACAAAGGCGTCTATACCTGCGTAGCTACCAACGTGGTGGGTAGAGCTGAAACTAGCTCTACGGTAGACATTGTAGAAGGAGTTAAACCAAGTAAAGCAGCAACATCAGTGCCGTGAGTACTTCATATTACAGATGTGAAGTTTTGTATTAATGTTTCTTGAAAATTGCAGGTACTCTAGGGAGCCAAAGTTCCTGAAAAAGCCGCTGAATATTGAGGCTTACGAAGGCGATCACGTGGCTATTGATTGCGAGATCATTGGTGATCCCAAACCGGAAGTTGTATGGCTGCGTGATTTCTTAAAGGTAGGTTATGTGTAAATGTTAGGTACAGTCTTTGAATAAGAAGACTAAGGAAGGAGCATAATGCTATCCATGTATTCATGCATGGTGGGTGGAAAAAGCACTCTAGGGTGGGGATCCTTGACAGTTCTGTTTGACGATTCATTTGACACATTTGAATTTGATTTGAAATTTTGGGGATTTGTCAGTCTTTAAGGAGCTTATTTTATGTTATTTATTATTTATTCTACTACTGATAGTTGTATAAAGGTAGTAAATCTAGATGGAAATTGTGGCAGAACTTAAATTAACAGTGACACTATCGCGATTTATCGAAAAAGACTCGAAAATAGTTGGTTGTGTAGTGTGCGGTAGATCTCGGCAAAAATCGAGTGAAATAATGGAACAACTTTTCGCTAGTAAGTGACTATATAATATACATACGTGTAGTAAACCGATCATTTATAAAATTCACTTAAATTAACTAAATTATATATTTTCTTGCATTTTAAAAACTTTATTTACTACTTGTCAAAGATCAGATGTCAAAGAATTTTGATACGTTAATTTGACTTACCTGCTTCAGTAGCGTATCGGATGTTTGTGATAATAAATACTTATTATAACTTATCTATTTTTATTAGAATTATATATTTTTATAACAATTTTAATAACTACCAACATTTAATCACAACGTAAAATAAAAGAACAAATTATTGAGTCTACCCCACGTCTACCCTACATCATTTTTTTACATTTTTTAAATAAAATTAGAACGGCACTGATAAACCGGAATTTAAGTCGGCCATATTTGGGGCCCATCGCGGTGGACCTAAGATTTTTGATATGCTCCTTCCTTAGTCTTCTTATTCAAAGGGTACAGTCTATAATAACATGTGATCGAAAAAAAAACGACGTCAAAGACGGCTATAGATGACAATTTTTTCGAGGTCCAGCTCTAGACGTTTTTTAAATAGCGTAGTTTAAAATTCGATAAAATATTTTTTCTGGAAATATATTTGTGTGCCTGGAAACGTTCTATCCTTTTTTAATCTTTCTATAATTAGTGTTAATTTTTGACAAGTTTTACGTGAATTTATAGTGACGCCTTTTAGAGATTGACCTCGCCAAAATTATCATCGAATGACATTCCCCAGCCGTCTGTGACGCCGTTTTTTTTCGATCACGCGGTATAAGGTAAAAAATAAAATGCAGTTTCGTAGCAACGCGTAACACAAATCACGATGCATTTCACCGACGAGACTCCCTACAGGGCGTTAGTTTTTTCGACCGAGCGCGTATTAAGAGATTGAATAAATTTCTCCGTTCGGAATAGTGGGTGCAAAAACTTAATAACGACGTATTCGACCCCGTTCGGAACATTTTTTGGTAATTTGGAGACGACCAGGGTTGGGTAAAGCCAAAAACATTTAACTAAAGGGGAGGTATAACATTCCCTTCATAAAACACAGTTTGTTTACAATCGTACATAGTTTAACACTTTTATACAGGGTTGTTCACCACATACGACACGGAGTATTGTAGCTAAACGATGAGATTTTTACAAATTGTAAGTTTTGGGTTCGATGAAGGACTATTAGAGGTACAATTTAAAAATAATTTTACAAGATACAGAGTGTCCCAAATAAGTAAAAAATATCAAAGTTGTATTTTTTTAAATGGAACACCCTGTATATTATTACATTTTAGTTTCTACGATTAAAATAAAGGTAAATTTGATTAAGGTTTATTGTACTTAAACCTTACCGTTTTTGAAATATTTTCAAATTTGTGAAATTGCAGTAAAAATTTTAAGGCTTCATTTCTCCAAGGGTATCAAAGTTTTTAATACTAAATATTTACTGAAGTTTATTTACTGATCAGTTATTGTGTTGCAATAATAAATATAATACTACCTTATATAGAGTGTCTAAAAATTTATTTTAAATAATTATTAGCTTCAAACGGCAATAACTTGTTTAATTTAAACGGAACACCCTGTATATTTTACGAGAATCAGATGCACAATTTAATTGTCTATCAAACTACATTATACCATTTTTTACCTATCTCTTTAAGTTTCCGTAGAAAATGCATTTTCTTGTAATTTAGAACTTATTTATCAATATACCCATGGACTATTGACATTTTAGATTATTTTAAAGATGTACCAAATTTTTAAAAAGTACAGATACTAATATTGTGGATATAATTTGTTTATTTCATTAAAAAATAAAAAACTGTTTAAATATTTGTTAAAGAGGACCAATTAATATGATCCAGTATTCAAACTACATTAACTGACTGCATTGATTAATAATAATTGTTACAAAAACTAAAAAAAATGAATTTTGTATGGGTATTAGACAGTGTGATAAAAAGTAACACCTTAAAAATGATATTTCATTTTTTAATAAATGCTTATTTATAACAACAGAGACTTTAATTTTGATAACTTATTATTATATTGATTTCTGACTCAATTCCACATTTATTTAGAATAATTTATTAACGAACACAATCAAGTATGTCATTAATTAGTATATGGGCGGAAATAATGGTGTTATATTTAATTAATGGTATACTCTTTTTATAAAGATTTAAATAGTTTTCTTTTTGCATACAAATGGGCTAATAATTTTATCGTTTTGCTAAAAACGATAATATTACTAGTCTGTACATTTTGTTGTTTTAAAAACAATCTAAAATGTCAATATTCCATGGATATATTGATAAATGAGGTCTAAATTATAAGAAAATGCATTTTCTAGTTGAAGGGATAGGTAAAAATGGTATAATACAATTTGATAGACAATTTAATTGTGCATCTGATTCTCCTAAAATATACAGGGCATTCCATTTAAATTAAAGAAGTTATTGCCGTTTGAAGCTAATAATTATTTAAAATAAATTTTTAGACACTCTGTATAAGGTAGTATTATTTTATTATTGCAACACAATAACTGATCAATAAATAAACTTCATTAAATATTTAGTATTAAAAACATTGATACCCTTGGAGAAATGAAGCTTTAAAATTTTACTGCAATTTCACAAAATTGAAAATATTTCAAAAACGGTAAGGTTTAAGTATAATAAACCTTAATCAAATTTACCTTTATTTTAATCGTAGAAACTAAAAATGTAATAATATACAGGGTGTTCCATTTAAAAAAATACAACTTTGATATTTTTTATTTATTTGGGACACTCTGTATCTTGTAAAAATATTTTTAAATTGTAGCTCTAATAGTCCTTCAACGAACCCCAAACTTACAATATGTGGTGAACAACCCTGTATATTTTTAATAAATTTTATAAATTAAATAAGAATTTCCAATATTTGCTTGATTTCTCTCACATAAATGACATTGATTGACACATGATTGACAAACAAAACCAGAAAAACCAGCCTTCTCGCGGTTAGTTTGGTGACATTTATAACCGAATCTTTCAGGAACCGTGTTCCTTAGTAAAAAAAACTTTCGGGAAACCGATAGAAACGGAACATAAAACCATAACCAAGGTAAGCAACGGAATACACCCAATTTTTGTTATCAAGATGACATTTTAGACGTCAACTGACATATATGTCATAATATTTTAAATTTAAATATGTATGTAATATAATTTAAATTAATATTTTGCAACTTTATACTAAGGAAACGTTTATACATTTACAAAATACAACAAAATATAATAATATGGTTTGAAAACAATGAAAATTGAATTAAAATTAAAAAAAGTTAAGCGCGATCCCTTGTGTCAAAATTAGATGATTACATTTTTGCAATTTTTAAACCATTTTATGACCGGTGGCGCCTCTAGTGTTTGTTCGTTCACCTGTATGAGTAACAAATTATAGAATCGCAGCGATATGCACATCCCTGGACAACGGTCAAGAACAATATCCGTTTTTTCGTATCAGAAGCATCAGCGAAAATTCCTTATCGTAAATTGGCGACTGCCCGCTGCCTCGGACACGACAGAAATTAGCTTCCATACCGACCGAAAACGATCTTTTTTCGACGCAAGCCCCAGACTGCAGCCTGTTGTTCCCAAATATTACCGCAAGTTATTCTCGTTAAATGGAAACAAAACGGCCGCCGAAGAATTCGCGGCCTTTAAAAAACCTTTACAGATTTCTACCAGATTCGTGCGGATGTTAAATCGATGCCGAATTAAAATTTAATCGACTTAAAAGTGGGGTTTTTAGTAGATTGTACCGTTGCCGTCAGAAGGAAAACAGGCCCGAAAGTTGACGCGTAACGTAATCAAAGTAGGCGAAGTACCAAACCTTTTTGACACATTTAACATTGCCATTCGGATGTCATTATGGCTTTCATAATAGCACTAGTGCTATTATGAATTCATAATTACACACAAATTTTAAAATAAGAAACAAGCAAAAGAAGGTACCTACCTAAATACGTTTATTTATTGTAAACATTTATTATAATATCAGGTGACAGGTGAGTTGAATTTTTAGAAAGTAAATTTATTTCCTGAGTGCTTGAACTTGTTGAAGACCCATCATTGCCAGAAATGTTACCCAAAATATTACATGACACTTTTTTCTTATTTTCTTTGGAATTTTCTATAGGTATAGCTCTCTGCCACTGTGTTAGAGCGTCAACCACCATGTCTTTTAACAGTTAATAAATCTACTCCTGAATCTGCAAGCAATGACGCAGACGATCTACGGCAACAATGTCCAGTGTATTGTTGTGGATTTGAAAGACTCAGGAACAATGCTATTTTATACGGCATTTTCCCTAAAGTATTAATGCCAAATGGTTGCTTAATACATTTTCCATTTCTGTACCCCACAAAAAATCGAGTATGCTCTGTGTTGCTTGGCCGCATAGCTATATAACTTCGAACCATTTCCACCATATTTATTCCTTCAACATTCCCTTTCGTTATAAAAAAAATCTCGTGATATCTTTGTTTTTGTACATGGAATAATGACATGAATGCATTGTCATTCATCTTTAACATTTTGCAGCTGCAGATTTGTCAAC